CACAGTGTATGGCGTCTGCCCGTCTTCATTAGCCCAGTTCCAAGCAGAACAGTAGGACGTTAAAACCCCATTTCATTTCTTTTCATTTCTTGAAACTAGTTGGGAAGCCCCCCGGTCCCTACCCCATGCCCCCGGCTCCTTCAGCTATGGCTACGAGCATGATTTGCTACTATATTATCTTAGCCCGCTGCCACCGCTGCTTAATATTGAGCGACTTGTTTATTCGACTGAATTATTCGACTGGATTATTCGACTGAATTATTCGACTGAACTATTCGACTGGTTTATTCGACTGAACTTTTCGACTGAATTATTCGACTGGTTTATTCGACTGGATTATTCGACTGAACTAACTGACTGATTTTATCGACTGGACGAGGCCACATGACAATGTCAAATACCTCATCCCCCCCACCCCCGCCCCACCCCATCCCCTTTCTTCGTTCATATCATATATAGGGACTCTATTCTTTTCGAGGCGGACAAGGACAGCTGTCTAGTCGTTCGGATGGGACGAAAAACCGAGGTCCCATGTGCACATTGGCGTGGACGTAAAAGATCCCTTGACAGATGGAATTCGATATAAGAGTACGCCGTAGTGCCGCTGTCCGGGCAAAATTTCCCCCATCGCACAGTGTATGGCGTCTGCCCGTCTTCATTAGCCCAGTTCCAAGCAGAACAGTAGGACGTTAAAACCCCATTTCATTTCTTTTCATTTCTTGAAACTAGTTGGGAAGCCCCCCGGTCTCTACCCCATGCCCCGGCTCCTTCAGCTATGTCTAAGAGCATGATTTGCTACCATATCATCTTAGCCCGCTGCCACCGCTGCTTAATATTGAGCGACTTGTTTATTCGACTGAATTATTCGACTGAACTATTCGACTGAAGTATTCGACTGAACTATTCGACTGAACTTTTCGACTGAATTATTCGACTGGTTTATTCGACTGGATTATTCGACTGAACTAACTGACTGATTTTATCGACTGGACGAGGCCACATGAAAATGTCAAATACCTCACCCCCCCCCCCCGCCCCACCCCATCCCCTTTCTTCGTTCATATCATATATAGGGACTCTATTCTTTTCGAGGCGGACAAGGACAGCTGTCTAGTCGTTCGGATGGGACGAAAAACCGAGGTCCCGTGTATACATTGGAGTGGACGTAAAAGATCCCTTTGACAGATGGAATTCGATATAAGAGTAGGCCGTAGTGCCGCTGTCCGGGCAAAATTTCCCTCATCGCACAGTGTATGGCGTCTGCCCGTCTTCATTAGCCCAGTTCCAAGCAGAACAGAAGGACGTTAAACCCCATTTCATTTCTTTTCATTTCTTGAAACTAGTTGGGAAGCCCCCCGGTCCCTACCCCATGCCCCCGGCTCCTTCAGCTATGGCTACGAGCATGATTTGCTACTATATTATCTTAGCCCGCTGCCACCGCTGCTTAATATTGAGCGACTTGTTTATTCGACTGAATTATTCGACTGGATTATTCGACTGAATTATTCGACTGAACTATTCGACTGGTTTATTCGACTGAACTTTTCGACTGAATTATTCGACTGGTTTATTCGACTGGATTATTCGACTGAACTAACTGACTGGTTTTATCGACTGGACGAGGCCACATGAAAATGTCAAATACCTCATCCCCCCCACCACCGCCCCACCCCATCCCCTTTCTTCGTTTATATCATATATAGGGACTCTATTCTTTTCGAGGCGGACAAGGACAGCTGTCTAGTCTTTCGGATGGGACGAAAAACCGAGGTACCGTGTCTACATTGGAGTGGACGTAAAAGATCCCTTTGACAGATGGAATTCGATATAAGAGTAGGCCGTAGTGCCGCTGTCCGGGCAAAATTTCCCTCATCGCACAATTTATGGCGTCTGCCCGTCTTCATTAGCCCAGTTCCAAGCAGAACAGAAGGACGTTAAACCCCATTTCATTTCTTTTCATTTCTTGAAACTAGTTGGGAAGCCCCCCGGTCCCTACCCCATGCCCCCGGCTCCTTCAGCTATGGCTACGAGCATGATTTGCTACTATATTATCTTAGCCCGCTGCCACCGCTGCTTAATATTGAGCGACTTGTTTATTCGACTGAATTATTCGACTGAACTATTCGACTGGTTTATTCGACTGGTTTATTCGACTGGTTTATTCGACTGAATTATTCGACTGGTTTATTCGACTGGATTATTCGACTGAACTAACTGACTGGTTTTATCGACTGGACGAGGCCACATGAAAATGTCAAATACCTCATCCCCCCCACCCCCGCCCCACCCCATCCCCTTTCTTCGTTTATATCATATATAGGGACTCTATTCTTTTCGAGGCGGACAAGGACAGCTGTCTAGTCTTTCGGATGGGACGAAAAACCGAGGTCCCGTGTCTACATTGGAGTGGACGTAAAAGATCCCTTTGACAGATGGAATTCGATATAAGAGTAGGCCGTAGTGCCGCTGTCCGGGCAAAATTTCCCTCATCGCACAATTTATGGCGTCTGCCCGTCTTCATTAGCCCAGTTCCAAGCAGAACAGAAGGACGTTAAACCCCATTTCATTTCTTTTCATTTCTTGAAACTAGTTGGGAAGCCCCCCGGCCCCTACCCCATGCCCCCGGCTCCTTCAGCTATGGCTACGAGCATGATTTGCTACTATATTATCTTAGCCCGCTGCCACCGCTGCTTAATATTGAGCGACTTGTTTATTCGACTGAATTATTCGACTGAACTATTCGACTGGTTTATTCGACTGAACTTTTCGACTGAATTATTCGACTGGTTTATTCGACTGGATTATTCGACTGAACTAACTGACTGGTTTTATCGACTGGACGAGGCCACATGAAAATGTCAAATACCTCATCCCCCCCACCCCCGCCCCACCCCATCCCCTTTCTTCGTTTATATCATATATAGGGACTCTATTCTTTTCGAGGCGGACAAGGACAGCTGTCTAGTCTTTCGGATGGGACGAAAAACCGAGGTCCCGTGTCTACATTGGAGTGGACGTAAAAGATCCCTTTGACAGATGGAATTCGATATAAGAGTAGGTCGTAGTGCCGCTGTCCGGGCAAAATTTCCCTCATCGCACAATTTATGGCGTCTGCCCGTCTTCATTAGCCCAGTTCCAAGCAGAACAGAAGGACGTTAAACCCCATTTCATTTCTTGAAACTAGTTGGGAAGCCCCCCGGTCCCTACCCCATGCCCCGGCTCCTTCAGCTATGGCTACGAGCATGATTTGCTACTATATTATCTTAGCCCGCTGCCACCGCTGCTTAATATTGAGCGACTTGTTTATTCGACTGAATTATTCGACTGAACTATTCGACTGGTTTATTCGACTGAACTTTTCGACTGAATTATTCGACTGGTTTATTCGACTGGATTATTCGACTGAACTAACTGACTGGTTTTATCGACTGGACGAGGCCACATGAAAATGTCAAATACCTCATCCCCCGCCCCACCCCATCCCCTTTCTACGTTCATATCATATATAGGGACTCTATTCTTTTCGAGGCGGACAAGTACAGCTGTCTGGTCGTTCGGATGGGACGAAAAACCGAGGTCCTGTGTATATATTGGAGTGGACGTAAAAGATCCCTTTACAGATGGAATTCGATAAAAGAGTAGGCCGTAGTGCCGCTGTCCGGGCAAAATTTCCATCATAGCACAGTGTATGGCGTATGCCCGTCTTCATTAGCCCAGTTCCAAGCAGAACAGAAGGACGTTGAACCCCCATTTCATTTCTTTTCATTTCTTGAAACTAGTTGGGAAGCCCCCCGGTCCCTACCCCATGCCCCGGCTCCTTCAGCTATGTCTACGAGCATGATTTGCTACCATATTATCTTAGCCCGCTGCTTAATATTGAGCGACTTGTTTATTCGACTGAATTATTCGACTGAACTATTCGACTGGTTTATTCGACTGAATTATTCGACTGGTTTATTCGACTGGATTATTCGACTGAACTAACTGACTGGTTTTATCGACTGGACGAGGCCACATGAAAATGTCAAATACCTTATCCCCCCCACCCCCGCCCCACCCCATCCCCTTTCTTCGTTCATATCATATATAGGGACTCTATTCTTTTCGAGGCGGACAAGGACAGCTGTCTAGTCTTTCGGATGGGACGAAAAACCGAGGTCCCGTGTATACATTGGAGTGGACGTAAAAGATCCCTTTGACAGATGGAATTCGATATAAGAGTAGGCCGTAGTGCCGCTGTCCGGGCAAAATTTCCCTCATCGCACAGTGTATGGCGTATGCCCGTCTTCATTAGCCCAGTTCCAAGCAGAACAAAAGGACGTTGAACCCCCATTTCATTTCTTTTCATTTCTTGAAATTAGTTGGGAAGCCCCCCGGTCCCTACCCCATGCCCCCGGCTCCTTCAGCTATGGCTACGAGCATGATTTGCTACTATATTATCTTAGCCCGCTGCCACCGCTGCTTAATATTGAGCGACTTGTTTATTCGACTGAAGTATTCGACTGAACTTTTCGACTGGTTTATTCGACTGGATTATTCGACTGAACTAACTGATTGATTTTATCGACTGGGCGAGGCCACATGAAAATGTCAAATACTGAAGCGACTAGATCCCTCCACACGGTTGTTTTTATTCCGAAGCGACTAGATACTATGCTGTCATCAATTTTATGCATGGACACAGACTTAATTCAAGTTGTTTATATTAGTACGGCCATTGTTTTCAGTTGATGACGTCAGTCGTTGACCCTTAACCCTAGATGACGACCTTACTCGCAAAGAGAGGTCAACACGTTGTTTAGGGGATTGCTATTGGAAGGAAAATCTCAATAAAGTTGTGACTTCAACTGTCAGATTTGAACTTGGGGGAAAATAATCAAAATAGACAAAAAACGATGTAATCATATTTGAGTTAGTGCGTTTTTTATTTCAGTCAAACAAACTATTCCCAAATTTTAGCCCAACCATCGACCGAGTTTGTTGACTGGAAATTCTAGTGGTACTTAGGGGTAATTGTGTCAATTTGGCAATTTTTGATTCAATTTTAATGTACTTTTCGACTAGGTAATCAAATCTAGCAGCATGGCTGACAAACAAGACGTAAAAGTTGTCGAAAAGATTAATCATGAGGAAGAAGATGACATTGAAGTTAATGGTGTAGAAGAAAATATAGACGAAAGTGCCAAATCTAAGAAGAAAAGAAAGAAGAGAAAAAAGAAAAAAGTTGGTAAGCTCAAAAACTGTATGCTGCAGTACTGACGCGGTTGGTCAAATCAAAACTGACTGCAAGTGCAATAAATAATAAATCTCCTGTGCTCCTATTTCTTGTCCCCAATCAATTTATTATGTGGTCATGCAGGAATGTGTTGTTCTGCTGCAGTTGCCTCTTGTGAATTAAATAATCGATTGGTATAGGACTCCACAAAACAGACTGACAGTGACAGGATCTCCAATAACCGAAAATGTAATGGTGGAGTGGTACTATAGTTTAAATAGTAGCCTACCTCTAGTGGGTCTACCATTGCCACTAGACTGTTACAAATCCCATGCCATAGTCGTCCCCAAATATCAGAATATGTTGGATGTGTCGTCCACATGGCATTGATAGACTAGTCCACACAGTACACACCATTAGTTATGTTGTGGATATGAGTAGTATTCATAGTGATTATAATTAAGTGTACTGAGTGATGCTTTATTGTCGTATCCATGTTTGAGTATAATTTTCATGACCGTAACTGGCAGACTATCGCCATCCAGAAGACGACCACCGTTAGACTGGTCGCTTTATACCTTTTTTGTATAATACCCCGCTATATTTCTAGTTCCTTGATTAAACTCTATATTTTAGAAAATCGCTTGATTTTACAAAAGGAATTTTTTACAAAAAGGGCAGAGGATTGCTAAAAGTGCCAAACAATTATTTTATCATTGGTTATAATCGTCGAAATGCGGGAAAATTTATAGTAACTAGTGGCTAACAGTATGTATGCACGAAGGCAAACAATCTTATTTGCATATTGCATACTATATTATTTTCAGTTCAATAACATCAATGGCAAACATGTATTTATTATTAACAAGACAGGATTGAAAAATATCACTCTTGCGCAATGCCATATGGCGTGACTTGTGAAATAGCTAACGTGTTAAATAATTAAACTTATTTTGTATTTAAAATTATTTATGCCATGACTAATCTTATAAACTATTAATGGGTCTTTTTTAAATCAACCTGATTTCAACTGGTCATTTGTCGAAGTACCTTTCCGCACCGCACAAGATAGAGAAATGAAATGTCAAGAATGAATGAATGAATGGAATTGTACTGACCATATATCAACCTCGCACATATGTAAATGATTCTGTTTCACGTAAAAGACATAAGCTTAGCAATTAATCTTTTGAAACATTCTTTTAAGAATAGCAGAAAATCAATCACTCAATTAGGAGGCTACTTTATCAAAACATCGATTAACTAATCTCGGCCGTGATCTGTCAATCACGCTCAAGTACCATTTGATAAAGCAAAAATAAGTGCTGAGTAAAACTGATTTATTCCATACAATTAAAGATACTTTCCCGTGTACAAACTGTGTGATTTGATGATATATTTGGACTAAACACATATTCAAACTAATTATCTATCAAAAATTTGCTTCAAAACTTTGTCTTCATGGGAAGATACCCAAAGGCCAAAACTATAAAAAAAAAATCTGTTTTTAGAAGCCATGTTTGTCACCTAACTTGACTGAGGGAGGGTCCATTTTTCAGAATGTATTTGTAATTACTTACTGGCCATTTACCATACATATTGAGGCGTAAGTAATTTCTTGAATTATTTTCTGTCAACTTCTTTTTTCACGGTTTAATTGCAGAGTCTGTTATACGTTTACACCCATCATTGTTCCCGAAACAGCCTAACCATTCGATCAAGAAACAACAACCGCTCCCTCAGTCAAGCTAGCATACAATAAGCCGTTGGGTTGCCAGTTAGTGATACCCTGACATTTTTGGCCAATGCTTGCCCCATGGGTGTTTTTCGGGTAATCCAATATGTTTCTAGTAAGATTGGGCGTCTATACTTTCCATATATACCAAATTTGCCATACCTTAGTTGGAAATAACCACTCGATAAATACCTTCGTGACAATTTATCTCCCTCAGTCAAGCTAGCATACAATAAGCCGTTGGTGTGCCAGTTAGTGATAGTACTCTGACATTTTTGACCAATGCTTGCCCCATGGGTGTTTTTCGGGTAATCCAGTATGTTTCTAGTAGGTTTGGGCATCTATACTTTCCATATATACCAAATTTGCCATACTTTTGTTGGAAATAACCACTCGATAAATACCTTCTTGACAATGTATCTTTAACATGTGTGTATGAGTCAAGATTTAGTTGTGGACGACATAACCAATACCATGTGGATGACTTAACTGTCGACGAATTTGCGTGTGGATGAGTTAACACCCATCGGTAGTGTCTGACTCATTCTTACAAATAGACATCAAAATGGTTCTACTCATACTTTCACTTCGATCAACAGGATCAAATTTTTGGGGTGAAATTCAAATTCTAATCAGAGCTTATACTATTTGCAGAGGATTAGAAAATTAAAATTGACATGCAGCATACATGTTTTTTTCAATATAGTTGATCATATTTTAGGTGAAGAGGAACCAGAAAATGCTCCTGATGAGATTGATGAAATTCTGAATCAGCTTAAACTACAGGATACACCAACAGTAAATGGTGTCGAAGGTTTGTTCTTTTAAAGATAACATCTCTGATTTATTTCACCAATCACCTTGTATCTGGATAAATCTGTCAGTAACTCAGATGTGCGTGCAGTGACAAGCTACATTTTCAGTTTTTGTTGTTTTATAGCGAGTAGTGAATAATAGTATTGTGCAGGATATTACTGCATTTTAATTACGTACCTTTTGGCTAAATTGTATTAATTTGATCACTCAATGAAAAATTTGAGGCAAGTGCTCGAAAGTGTTGCATAATCCCTATAAACTATTTTGATAATTATTTCTAATATTTTGAGCTGAAATGTTCCAAAAAAGTAAATAGTCTCCACATTTTTGGCATTTTATTTGCACACAGTACTTAGTTGGAGATCATTAATAAAAAGCAGTAAATTGAATGGATGAGGGACAGCTTAATCGGCCCATTCGGACCAGATTGATTCTTGGTTCTTTCGGCCCATGATAAGTCTCATTTGGACCATTATTTGAATGGCAAAAGTAATTAAGATATGTTTGCATGTATTTAATAATATGACACTTAATAGTACAATCAGCCTGATGGTGGTCTGAATGAGCCATATGGTGGTCTGAATGAGCTTAAACTTTTGGTCCATGGTCCAAATCAGCTTGGTTTCGAAGGACAGGACAAGCTCTCTACAATGTTAAAGTCATATTTAAAGGGACTATCCCTTATTTGAACCGAGTCTAAAAAATAAAAGTCTGAGTATGTATGAAATTTAAATGCCAAAATATAGAGGAATGGTGTATTGACCGTGTCTCAAAATTTCAGCTCAAAATATTGTGTCGTTTGGACGTGACCGTCAAAACTGCTTATCCGGACACGTAACCCTTTTAAGATTTCGGGTCAATATTTTCGTTGGGAGACCTGATAATCGATTTCCGTTCATTGAGAGGTCTCTACAGTGAATGACCCAAATGCTGTACTTGATTATGAAAGGTAAATTTCACCTACACATAATTTTTATACAAAAAATGTCTGGTTTTATCTAGACACCGCATAATACAGCTTGGGACACCGGTCTCCATTTCCAGATGGAGACTGACGGGTTTCAATTATTTGAAAACTTATCACAAATATTGAGTTAGTTGTTCGGCCCTTAGGTAGAGGATTTTAAGGGATTTTAAAACAAAATTAAACAGTTTCATTCTCCAAAAAATTATCGGGATTAGCCCTTTAAGAGATTAAAATTTCTTTGCCCCCCCCCCTTTATTTTAACATAATTGGTGATGTTATCAATATTTTATGTTACAGATGGTGAGGGTAAAAAAAAGAAGAAAAACAAAAAGAAGAAAGCTGGTAGGTTAAATGAATTGTTTGACAAATGTATATTTGAAATAAATCTGAATTAAGCATATTCTTATCCAATTCCTGTGACTGTCAATAAGGGTGAAATATGAATAATGCCAACGATATGTAGAGTGTCAGTGTGTCATGACAGTCAGTTTTCCAAAAAATCGCTATTTGATGTAGTTAATGGACACTTATTTTTAGATAACACTGACGGTTTAGTTTAGTCTTCTTGTATTGTAAATTCATTTTCAAAAAGACATACGCTTGAATAAAAAAAATCTGAATCTGCATGCGTAATGAATATTCTCCAATCGTAGCTTTAAAAACGCACACACCCGATAGACAAACAAGAACCTTTTTTTACCTTTTTTATGCCTCCTTCAAATGTGAATAATCTTAATTAAATCAATTTGTCCATAATATCAGAATTAATCTATTGGACGTTAAAATTGTAATAAACAACAACAATATAGATAAACATTTTTAGCAAGTCTTCATGGCTAAATGTATGTTGAACCTGATCATTTGTTTGTATATAATATATATTTATGCTTAATTTATAATAATACTGACTACAAAGTGTCAAGTTAATACTCAGGGGGTATGTCCAACTTTTTTTGCATGTTTATGTACAGTTAAAGAGTGATAAACAATAAATTACAGACATTTTATAAACTATCGCAATACACTCGTAATTTTTGTTTTCAGGAATATCACCCTGTTCTATGTTGTGTATTAATGATAGTTAAAAAAAATTGTTACATAAACTATTGTAATTGTAACAAAATTATTTATGAATTTTATATTTTCAGGAGAAGAAGGAAGTGAAAGTAAAGATGTTAAAGGAGAAATAGCTGAAGGTGAAGCAGGTATGTGATAACAGTTTGATCAGATATTCAATATGTATAGCAAAACCAATACTGTTATTTTGATACAGTGTATACTATCAAAGCATTTTTAACATTCATTTTTGTCCCCTGCATTCATTATCACAGACACATGCCAAAGTTAAAAAATCATTGACCTGCTGTAATCTGATTGATTGAAACACAATAACTGTTCATCAAGTGAAGGGATTTTGATAAAACTTAAAATGTATATTCATTATCACAGTCGGAACATGAATGTATATTTTTTTAGTGTCTCTTTGGTCAATTATGATATCTTTAAACTTCTGTCACAAAGATATCTACTAAATTTTAAATTGTGTTCTTAACAGTGTCTACTAAAACATTAATGCCATCTGTGAATATTTTATTAACTTCATGCAATCTAATTGATTGATAATTTGAAATGTAATAATTGTACTTCTAGTTGACTGAGTGATTTGGATCAAACTTGGCTAAAAGCCTGTAAGTGTATTTATATACGCCCACATTTTCATGTGGACCTATATTGCCGTTGCCCCTGTCAGTCCGAATGTCCACAATTGTTTGAGGACACTTTACAGGTCACAATTTTTATCCAATTTCAACGAAACTTGAAATATAGGTTTATCTCCCTAAGATCTCGTTTCCTTTCGATATTGGCTTGTATAGCACTGTAACTTCATTGATTATGGCCCCTGATTGTACGAAAAATCAGGTTTTTAGCTTGTGAACAATGTAGAGGTTACAATTTTTATCCGATTTGGTTTAAACTTGAAATGTATGTTTATAACTCTCAGATCTCGGTTCCTTTCGATATTCGCGCATATCGGACTGAATTATGGCCCCTGAATGTACGAAAAATCACGTTTTTTAGCTTGTGGACCCTATGGAGGTCACAATTTTATTCCAATTTAAAAAACTGTTTGAAGATATCACCGTTACACCTTAATGACGGTTGAGTTAGAATTTCGTAAAAATTGGACCAAAAATGCCTGCCCCTCGAACAAAAACAGTGTAAAATTATGGTATATCAAGGTTGTGGACCCTCTAGAGCTCAGAATTCTGATCCGATTTTGATGAAACTTGAAATACATGTTTATAACCCAAAGATCTTGGTTCCTTTTAGCTTGTGGTCCCTCGAGGAGTCACAATTATCATCCAATTAAAAAAAACCGTGTGATTTTATCACCGTTACACTGTAATGATGGTTGAGTTCGAATTTCGTGAAAATTGGATCAAAACTGACGGACAAAATGGCCGCCCCTGTATAACACAAATGGTGTAAATGTGAGGTATATCAAAGTTGTGGACTCTCTGGGGGTCACAATTTTCACCCGATTTTGTTTATAACTCAAAGATCTTGTTTCCTTTCGATATTCACGCATATCAGATCGTAACTTCCTGAATTATGGCCCCAGATTGTACGAAAAATCGCGTTTTTAGCTTGTGGTTCCTCAAGAGGTCACAAATATTATCTGATTTAAAAAAGCGTTCGAATATGTCACCGTTACACTGTAGTGTCAAACTGTCCAACAAAATGGCCGCCTGTCAACATAAATAGTGTAAACGTCTGGTATATCAAGGTTGTGGACCCTCTAGAGCTCACAATTTTGATCCGATTTTGATGAAACTTGAAAGGCATGTTTATAACCCAAAGATCTTGGTTGCTGTCGATATTTATGCATATCGGATCGTAACTTCCTGAATTGTGGCCCCTGATTGTACGTTGAAATGTATCTTTATAACCCAAGGACGTTGGTTCCTGTCGATATTCGCACATATCTGATCATACCTTCCTGAGTTATGGTCCTTGATGTTACGAAAAATCACTTTTTGTTTAGCTTGTTCTCTATCTATCGCTTGAAAAATGTGGGCGTATCCCCTCTGGCAGCCGCTTGTTAACTTGTGTTTACAACCAATAAAATAACACTATTGGTGTTCATTTCTTGCAGAGAAAGAAGATGGTGGAAAGAAAAAACTCAATAAAAAGAAGAAAGGTAATTGTTTGTTAATTCAATATTATTTAAAAAGGCAGTAGAGGTTTGTGAATGTAGACGGATATCTGACATATTACTTCTTGATATTACTTTCATAATTGGCTCAACAACATAACAAATTTGACATTTAGATGGTTAGACTGTTTGTAGCTTTTGCAACAACATCAACGTGATGGATTATGTAAGAGTTTTCAATAATTTTTACTATGAATGCATATGATAATAATAATTTAAAAAAACCACAATTTGTCAACTGGATGATACATGTCGTTGTGTTTTTTGTTGAATTAAACTTTTAGCAGGTTAATTTGAGGAAATTGCAATGAATTTCACCCCAGTTCCACACTTATGCTCTCCAAGTCTTCCTACTTTCTGTCTTCAGCGACCATGATGTCTGTTTATATGTGTAAATATCTGTCAAAATACCATAAAAACTTTACTATAGACACTAACCTGTTTGATTGGAAGGTGCACTTACCCCCGCCCCCTCCTGATGAACTTTCTCAGCCAACACCGGGTTCGAACAGGGGACTTCTAGCTTAACGAACCAACATCTTACTGACTGTTCCACTGTATCTCCCTTGTAGTCCAGAAGGCTGCAGACAGTTTTTGTTAAATTACCACTATTATCTATAGAAGCTGAAATTTGTATGTAATTATTTTTTAAGGTGGTGCTCCTACTAAACAAACTACACCGCCAACAATACCTATATCTGATCTCTTTCCTAATGGTAATTTTCCTGAAGGTGAAGTTTGTGAATATCCTATACCACAAGATATGTAAGTATAACAAAATGTCCATCGATTACAAATTGTCTTATCAGAATCAGATAACTTGTCTGTTAATTATATTTTTATGGTCAGTATTAATTCCACATGTTGCTACATCTAACATTCTTTATACTTAATATAGTTTTCATTCATCCCTTTATAAAGTAAGACATTGTGGTAACAATTTCTATCTAACCAGTAACCAATAATTTCCTTTCAATATTTTATTAATGCTATAAATTGTATGTTTAGGAGAGGAGCTAAAGACAGATCAACAGATGAAGAAAAGAAAGCTTTAGAGAAAGCTCAGTACTATTTATATGAAGAAGTACGACAGGCAGCTGAAGCACATAGACAGGTATTTTTAACACATTATTAAAATAATAGCATTTCTTAGCTTTTCAAAATATTGTAAAAACAAGATATTTTGTGGTTTGTGGTGTAAGGGGAGACAATCAAGGTAATGAGAAGAGTTTACATCCCCTCTTTAAAAGATCACTGTACTAATAACTTTTCTATTGCCTTGATAGAGATGATCAGTCATCTAAATATTACAGGATCCCACTGATTTAATCATTATACTGAAATGTTTACATTATGAACATTTAAAACACTAGTAATACAATTTTCCTTACAGAAATATTCTGTTTAATGTATTTCAGACCCGACAATATATGAAATCTATTCTAAAACCAGGAATGCAGATGTTTGACATCTGGTAAGTTCAAAGTATAAATTGTATATTAATACAGGTAAAAATTATAGTAACTAGTAATTTTGTCTTTGAAATAAATGGTATCTAGTAACTGATATTCTATTGATTCATTCTGTGATAGTTAATTTCCTTAGGGTCAAATTCCAAGAAATGTAATGACATTCAGATCTGTACATGACAGATAGACACTTTTGAACTTGGTGTCGAACAGGTATTAATAAAAATACAGAATAAAGACAAAACGACGGTCAACAGTGTGATTATGTCTGACAAAGCCTAAATTAGTGCCTGACATTGTCTTTGACGGTTGCGTTGACATTATTCTTTCACTGTGTATTATACATTAGTGAATAGAAGAAATAAACTGTTTTGCTGCCATTTGGCTTTAGGTGACTTAGAGAGAGCTGATTGATATGTAAAAATGAAGCAGTTGTCAAATTTGAACAAGGTTTTAATAATATGAAAACTGATATTTTAGTGAAACGTTAGAAGGAACAGCAAGAAAACTAATCAATGAGAAAGGTTTGGAAGCAGGATTAGCTTTTCCTACTGGTTGTTCTTTAAATCATTGTGCTGCACATTATACGCCAAATGCAGGAGATAAAACAGTTTTACAGTATGATGATGTGTGTAAAATAGATTTTGGAACACATGTTAATGGTGAATATAATAGTTACTTTGTTTTTCCTAATTTTTTTTTTTTTTGCGGGGGGGGGGGCTACAGTGGCATAGTGAGTAATACTCTGACTCGATAACCAGAATGTCTTGTGGTTCGCTCCCTTTGTTGGCTGAGAAACTTCCTCAGGATTTTCAGGAGTGGTTTCCCCTTGTCAGTGGTGCAGGACAGAGGACCTGACAAGAAACAGTGTCGAGTCATTTGGATGGGATAGAAAACTAAGGTCCTGTGTACACATTGGTGTGCACGTAAAAGAACCCTCGACAGTTGTAATTTGACATAACAGTAGGAAGTAGTGCCGCAGTCCAGGCAAAATTTCCCATATAGCACACTATATGGTGTATGCCCAGTCGGTGCAAAATAGGAGGACGTTAAACCCCATTTCATTTCTAAAACATCTTTCATAAGAAAAGAACTTTCTTCCAATGACAATAAAAGAATTTTATTAAAACACATTAATTCAAGGATGTTAGAAGTCCCTTTTTTGATTTGGTCTCTGAAACAAAAGGTTGTTTAATTATGCAAATTAGATTTGGTCTCTGAAACAAAAGATTGTTTAATTATGCAAATTAGATGGCATAAGGTGAAGAAATGTCCATATATATCTTTTCTGAAAGTTTCAGTTCAAATATATTTTTATATATTTACTAATCAGTATATTAGTTTAATATATTTAGGTTATTCTTACAGGTCATTTGGTTGATTGTGCATTTACTTTAACTTTTAATCCAAAATATGATGAATTATTAAAAGCTGTTAAAGATGCAACTAATACAGGAATCCGAGTAAGTATATTTTGTTGGCTGTTTTTGTTCATTTTATAAACGAATATGATGGTTCATTGGTGTCATTGTCAAAGCCAACAATTTTGTTATTTAACTGCTTTTTGAGTAATAAATTTGTATCTGTGTTGTAATTCTCTGCTTCTAAATGTCTCACTATGATTGTATATGTTTCGTTTTTAGGAAAGTGGTATTGATGTTAGGTTGTGTGATATAGGTAAATCTATCCAAGAAGTAATGGAATCGTATGAAGTAGAATTAGATGGAAAATCTTATCAAGGTAATGTTACTAGAAATTCTATGAGACTGTGCACTAAAAAGAATCACTTTTCATGATCTATAACATAAAAAGTAAACAACCAGAGGTTGCATTAGTTTTGAGCTAGTTAGTTCAAAGAATTTATATTTTGCTTATTCAACTGAAAACTTGCAATAGTTTCACGTCCATTTATTTTATCGTTTAAAAGCAATTTAATATTTTTGTTTAATTTCCTAATTTCATGTGTTAATTTATTGACAGTAAAATCTATTCGTAATTTAAATGGTCACTCTGTGTCACAATACAGAATACATGCTGGTAAAACAGTTCCTATCGTAAAAGGTGGTGAAGCTACAAGAATGGAAGTAAGTGAAAAGTAAATAAGGGTATATCAGCCAGTATATGTTTAAAGTGGGTATCTGTATCCACAGTGTTGAGATATAACTGACTTAACAGTTTAAACCAAAACTTCTGGTTTATATATTTGAAACATTAATTTTATCATATGGATCTTGTCCAATCACATATTGAAATACCATATCTGTACAACTCCTTATTATAACTTTATTCAAAGAGGTGTAGATATTATGTTATTGTTTTGTCTTCATTCATCTGAGAATAATTATGTTTTAGGAAGGTGAATTTTATGCAATAGAGACATTTGGAAGTACAGGAAAAGGTGTTGTACATGATGATATGGAAACATCACATTATATGAAGAATTTTGATGTAGGAAATAATGTTGCTGTTAGGTATGTACTCTAGTAGTCATAATGACAAGATATTGTAACTTAAAGTGCACATAAGATGGGTTTTGGAACTTTTGGATATGTGTAGCCAATGGTTACTATATCAACTTTACGGCAAGTTCACACCAATCTGATTGAAATTAATTCAGTTATCTTCACTCAAAGTCGTAAAAATGGACCTCCCGTGAAAACGACTTTGCCAATTATCGAAAACACTCTTAATCCCCTCAGACACCAGTGACGTCACAGTGACCGAATGCATATTCGGAATGTTTATTCCTTAATTACCTATATACAGCCGGCGTGTGTACTCATTAACGCCTGACTGATTCCTTAATCTCCCTTAGTTCTTAATTAAATAAAACAATTGACTTGGAATAATTCGTTTTGTAATTCATTTTAATTTAAGATCCAATTTAGATTGCCTACAACTTTTAAACTTTGAAGTCTTGAACTCTTAATTAATTTTTTACAATATGGAACTTATTGGACGAACACTTTTAATATGTAAATAATATACCGGTCCAGCTATGTGTTTTTTACTGTGAGCACTTTGCTTTTCCACATAAAGTGTAGTGTCGTTAATATTTGTCATTAATTAATCAATCCGACTATAAAAGTTATACAGGCATGGGTCATAAATTACACGTCGGTGTTAGCAGTGAGTGTTAGTGGGATTAAGAATGTTGATTAGGTAATTATCTTTTTTTACGCCGGCCAGATCAAAGACATCACTCTAAGTGGAACGTGTGCATAATACCTCATGAACGAACTAATGGTAGAATCGTACACCCACACATTAATTGTATAAAATCATTAAGTTTTACTCATCAGTTGTTTATAAGTATTATTTACCCAATAATTATTGGTCACCAGTGTTTTTGTAATCAAGTAGCCTCGTATTATTTGTTGATTGGCGTTTAAACGCCAATTTTACAATTGCATTGAGAGTTTAATCACTCACCAAACCGCACCAGGAACTCCACGTATGATCCCGTGCAATTTTCGTGCCGAAGTTTAACCTCATTTACTACACCCGTAGTACATGTAACCGTAAATGGTAATAAGATTCCCAGCGTTGATTGGCTGAGAAATGAGGGCGATCTATTGTACATGTTATGCATAGTCATCGGAAAATTCCATATTCACTGTAAATTTCAAATGGAGCTACGATAAAAATTGTTCTTTATGTATAGAAATGGTTATTATTATTATATATAGCTAATAATGAATATATCGACAAATGACTGGCGCCCTTATATCAAGTATTACGGGGTTATCCAAATTACCGGTAAATGCGCTAATTTCTTGAGTCGTCTTCATTTGACATGTGGCCTATTTAAACAAAGACAGCTTAAATGGATCTGCGGCATGATACGGCATTTGAAATTCACTCTAAAATATTCCAATCACAAATGAAAGACGATAATTCGGTGATTATGATTAGGCCAGTCACGTGGTAATTGGAACGTCAACAGACGCTTGTCAACTTGCCGTGTGTATTGATAGTGCTATATTGTACAGACGGTGAGATATTGTATAGATAATGTACATCCTATGTGTAGTGCCTGTGATGTCACCAGCCAATCAACCGGATTAAGGTCGTAATTGAAAAATTGAAAAGCGTGTTGGACACTTAAACGTTAACAGCGGACTTAATTTTAATCAGATTGGTGAGAAGTTGCCGTAAAGTTGATATAGTAACCATGGGCAATACATACATGTAATTTAGATTTTCGATCTTACGTGGTCTTTAAAGTTTATCTTTTAATGATAATGATTGGAGTAAACAGAAAGCAGTTTCCAGTGTTCTTTTGAACGTGACTGCTATAGCCAAATTGTTTTAAACTAGACTTATTTTTATTTTATGAAATTGACTGTCTGTTGTAGTCAAATTTTCTGAGACAAAGGCCATGCTCTCCTTAACAAAACAATAAAAAATTTACTACACAATTTGGACATACAAATGTGTTTCTTTCATTTTCAGGGTGGCCAAGTCAAAACAATTACTACAAGTTATAAATCAGAATTTTGGTACATTAGCATTTTGTCGACGTTGGTTAGATAGATTAGGACAAACCAAATACCTCATGGCTTTGAAGAACCTGTGTGATGTTGGTATTATTGATCCTTATCCTCCACTGTGTGATATTAAAGGCAGCTATACAGCACAGTTTGAACACACAATATTACTACGCCCAACTTGTAAAGAGGTGCTAACACGAGGAGATGACTATTAGTCTTCTATTATTAAACTAGACAATAATGTTTGTTATTCAAGTCTCAAAATTTCATCAGTTTTTTTTCAAGTGGAATTTTAGAGGCTTTTAATCAATCAGCTTTTGTTCGTTAATGTTCATGAAGTTCATCTGGAGAAGGGAAACGGCACCAAGCATTAAAATGTTCATGTATTGTTACAAATCTTACTGATGTGTTATGCCAGAGTTATTTTATAATCATTGGCTTAAAGCCATTGGGAAATGTGAAACAGTATGGTGGGCCAATCTGTCTTGATACGCATTCGGGTATTGTGGGATTTGGTTATTATTATGGCATGGTAACATGTTATTGTGTAATAATATATCATGTATATTAATATAGATTTAATATAATAATGTGGAAGAAGATCACTATATCAATATTGTATCCAACAAAACATACGACAGACAACCCACCACAAGACAACATCCCTCTCACAGATGAACCAGTGTTACCGGGTGTTCATTTGTATTCAGCAAATCTATCAGTTTTAAAGCATAGGGTAGATCTGTATTGGTAATGTTTGTTCCAGTTTAAATTTTATAGATGACAATATTGTTTAAGCATTTGTGCGACTCCATTTTCTAGAAAAATATATTATATAAAATTAGTTAATAGTTAGACATTTTATGAAATTTGTAATATTCTTTTTACTCAGGTTCTAAAACTAGAAGCACAAACCTGCAACTAACTGTATTTTATGAAGTATACATCTTTAACATATTGTAGTCATGATATTATATTAGTATATCAAATTGGACATTGTAGTACAAGGAGTTTTCCTGTGGAGAATGAACGTTATTAAAACAGTTAAAAAAGATATTGTTTTTAGAAGGCATGAATTTTTTTTTAGGCATAAAACAATTGTGAATGGCCTGTGGTAATCTAAATGGTAATATTGATTCATGAGATCAGGAATTAAAGGATTAAACTTAAAACCTGGGATATTGAAACAAATGTAGCATAGAAATAATGCAAACTTGGACATTATTTTAGCATTGATAAATTTAAACATTAATTTCTTTGCTCTTTAGTAAATAGTTATAAATTAAATATACAAACGTGTAAATCTCAGCTGTCAAAATACACTGTATGTTAAAACTAGATTTGTTTTTTCATAAATTACAACCATTTAAAAATAATTAACATTTTATAGGAAACACCACCATAGGTCATGGTATTATTTTTCTTGGGTTAGATATCAGCGTATATGAAAGTGTAGGAGGGTATATACTCTTTTGTTTGAAGAGCTAAATAATGGTCAGTGAAAATGTGTAATGGTGCATTGACAATAGAAAATATATCTATATTTAAACAAACTAATTTCACATGTTGGGTTGGTCATGGCTGTTAACATCAGAAACTATATTTGATGTATTCTGTAAATACAATGTAAACAGTTTATCTGTTATTCTTCTCATCCATCAGTGCTATATTCTATGAATGAACAGAAATAAAAAAAAACATGTTTGATTTATGTCCATCTTTTTAACTTGTCTGTGATAAAGTCAACGGGATTAATAAGGATGTGATGAAAAACCAAGGTTCCGTATTCACAATGCATAAAGATACCTTTATAGTTGTACACTTAGATTCTGTACTGTAGGTGAATATGCCACTGTTTGGGCTGAATTCTCATCTTTGGCATTGAAGTTGCACACATAATGATAGTTAAACAAGCCAACAGTGAGGCTGATGTCCCCCGCCAAAATCCCAGAATAAATAGATGACACACTAATTAATTGCACATTTATCTTTTTCAAAAGTACATGTATCGAGCAGTCAAACTGATTATCTATACTTAGTCTAAGCATAAAATGTTCACTATCAAACTCAATCTAGGTTTTGAAGCACCTGGTCGTAAAACTCTACACCAAGTTTCATCACTCTCCATCAGTTAGAATCAAAGTTATCTTGTCCCAAAGCATCGACCAATGAAATTGCTTAGCTCAGATTGATGTCTCTATATTGCCTAAGCAGAAAACGCTCAGCATCAAATTTTAAGGCATTGATGTAATGAAACTCTACACAAAGTTTCATAACTATTACTCAATTAGACTTAAAGTTGTCAAGCTCCAAAGTCTCGACCAATCAAATTGCTTATCATCACATGATCATTCTTACCCTGAGCAGCAATCTGATTAAAATACAGAACTATATTCGTTTCATTTTTTTATACTTTCGATGGCCTACACTACATGAAGTTCTGACAAGTTGTACTCGAAAGTGGTGTCAGGAGTCGCACGAGCGACATTGATTTATCAATCAGCGTTGACGTTCCTAGGGGTTTACCCACAGTTCCGTGCAGAGCATGCCAAGAACTCGCTGTAACAGAACGTTTTATTGGCTGTGTCAGACATTGATTAATCAATCAAGAGTTGGCGTTTCTAGTGGTTTACCCACAGTTCCGTGCATGGCAACGCCAAGAAGTTGCCATAACAGACTGTTTCATTGGCTTATCCCCTCAATTCAACCAAAACGCTGGTAATATAACAACACTTCCAGATCCTAGTGTAGTGAAGACAAGTAAAACAAAATTTTGAACTATAAAAAACGAAACGAAGTAGGATCTGTGTTTTAATCAGATTGCCTGAGCAGAAAATACTCATTATCGAACTTTGTCAATCGTGTCCCAAAGCATCAACCAATCAAATTGCTTATCTCTGCTTACTCTACTAAGCAGAAAATGCTCATCTTCGAACTCCATCAAGGCACTCACTCAACAAACACCTACACCAATTTTGAACCTTTTACCTTAATTAGAAAGGGAGTTATTGTGTACCAAAGTCTCAACCAATCAAATTGCTTATCCTGAGCAGAAAATGCTCATTATTGAACTTAATCAAGGGTAATGAAACTATACACTAAGTTTCATCACTCTCACTTAATTAGAACTAAAGTTATGTCCCAAAGCATCCACCAACCAAATTGCTTATCTCTATCCTGAGCAGAATATGCTCATCTTCAAACTCGATGAAGTCAGAAGGCATACACCTAATAAACACCTACACCAATTTTGAACAGTGTATGTTCAATGAGTATCTAATATCATTAGTTATTTCTTTAATAGTTATTTCTTATACTTTTCTCTTGGTTTTCATGACACTACGCTTATACACATACATTGCATACCTCCTTCTGTTGTCCAAACGAATTATCTGTAACATGACCATTTCTTTGCAAAAGGATATTCATACTATGAACATTTGACTTGACTACACTAGAAAGTTTATATCTTAGCTGGGATTATTCAAGAAGACCAGAAGACTCTTCTGGAATTTTTATGTGTAGTTCCCACTGATAATAAATGTGTGTCGAGCTTGGATAGTACAAAAGGCCACTGTCTAGGTTTACAAATTAGTATATCGGAGATGAAATAACAGACAGTTTCATCTGGGAACTATATTATTTCTAATCCGTAACGTTGAGAGGGATTAGATCTTTCCATAGGCCTATACAAAAACATGAATATTACTATGAACAAAAAAAGCTATTTCTTATCATATAAAATCTCTTTATTTTCAATATTGAATTTTTATAAAAATATATGAAGTAACAATAAAATTCTATCAAAACATCTTTTACATAAATGTACTGTGGCAATAATACAACTGATATGGGTACTTTGCGGTAGTTAAACATACAACATAGTAATGATTTTTCTACACAATCTATTAATTAAAGATGATATAAGGAAAGACAAAACCACACAAATGAGCCCTTGGTCCGATACCTGTACATATTATACTTAATATACTATAGTAATATATTCTGTAGAGGAATGATATTTATAGATGTTGGTTTAGGATATGTATTGATAATTGAATTTCTCTGATCGAAAAACCCCAACTAAAACAATGTTTTAAGTATTCTCCAATTTACGTTTTTTGCTGTCATCTTCTACGAAGGGACTATTTTTTCGAGATTGATGATATAAACGTAATAAGTCTATAGCTTCCGATGTTACATGTCTTTCATCAAGATGACGTTGACAAGCATCTTGTAGTGCTTTAGCATAACTTTCTGTTTCTTTTAACAGATGACTCAAATCACTGACACTGGTTGATACTATTTGCTGTAAAATAAAGAAACAAATGGGATTTATAAGCAAATAATTTCAAAACGGTAAAATTGGAGCAATTATTTTGTCATTTATTTTTTTACAAAACAGCTGCTGTAGTACATAATAACAATATACCCACCTCAAGATCATCATTAGAGAATGCTATAATCCGTGATAAATCTTTCTGTAAACCAATAATTAACTGTTTAGTTCTTTCACTTAAACCAGATCCATAATCTGTTTCATCTTGTCCAGATAAACCTGAAACAAAAAGTTTGTCAGGCTACAAATCATATTAGAAGAGCAATAATGGTAAGTGCAGGAGGACCACACTACACACAAAAAACCCTGACAAGACAAAGCCACAGACATTGCAAGAATTAAACAACAAATATCAAATCCAGTGAATGGATCCGGGGCCCGGCCGTAAGAGAGCACTGCACTGTGCTGTACAGTTCATGGCCTGTAATGAAATAGATTGCAGTTTAATGTCCTAGTGTTTTCTGCACAGACTGGGCTAATGAAGACAGACATACACAATACAATGTGCTATGCTGTAAATTTTGCTGGGACAGTGGCTCTACAACCTACTCTTATATCAAATTCCAACTGTCGTGGGTTCTTTTATGTGCATGCCAATGTGTACACAGGACCTCGTTTTTTTTTGTTATCATCCAAAGGAATATATGCTGTCCCTTGCCAAGACCTCCGTTTTAAACCACTGACAAGGGGAACACCGATATAGAACATGGGACCTCCATGTTAGAGCACCGTTTACTCACTGAGCCATCGTGGCTCCCGGCCCGTAAATGATACTGATTCGACTCAAAATAAAAACCACAATATTGAACAATTTGCAACAGCAATAATTTGAAAGGTGATAGTTTGCCAGTTGACGTTATGCGATAGAACGTCAAAAAAATTTGATTAATTATCGGAAATTGTTGAAAACAAGTTCTTTTGTATATACATGTACTGTGTATACATTTCATATCAATCAGTTGAGAACTTTAGCCATAAAATCTTTCATAGGGGCAAAAATTAATAGACTTCTTGTTTCATTAACACTGTATATTTCTAAATGAAATGTGTTAGTTATGTAATTTTTTTCAAATAATCCTTTCTTTTGCACAACCCCGCTTACTTCTTATAGCAAAAGTAGCTTGGACTTGGATTTTAGAAACAAATATTTACTGGATGAATATTTATGACAAAGATACAGATTTACTCACACAAATAAACATTATAATCACTTTATTAATTTATTTTTCTGTCTTTCTGGCTTACCTGCATCTGCATGGTGCCATGTCTCTGAGCCTCTTAAAACCACTATAGTTGAATTACTTGGAACAAAGGCAAAATAATCTTCATCATCAATTTCTGTACCATCCTCTTCTAAAACAACTTTTATATTTTCGTTAGGTTGTATATTCAGTTTGGTTCTACCTAAAAATAGAAGTATTGGGTATGAGAGTTATTGACTATCATCTTGATAAATGCCAATCATTTGCTAGGTGGGGTTGGATCTTGATCAACAATCACTTCTCGCCCTGCAAGTAGCAGAATTTGACAGGTTATTAAAGCATTAATTACTTCTTACCAAACTTTTACAAATGGTACTGAATAGTAAGTCAAGGTAACACTGGAGTCAGGTATTCTAAAAAAAAGTTACGCAACCACTATATAAAACATTTTAGGATATGAACTGGAATTTTGCCTTAAATTAAGATTATTTTAAAGCATGCTTCTGGGGGTGACAACGATATGTGTCTATTAATCGGAACAGGGTGGACAACAAGGGATCTCATGTACTAATTGGTATAGTTCCTTTAGAAACTGTCTCTGAGCGAACTATGTCGGACATAGTCCGATCAGACAGTTCCTAAAGGAACTAAAATTGGTAATGCAAGAGGCTATGCCTTTGAAATTTGATGTTCATGTAAAGCATGGGGATGTCTTGACCAAATTTTGCCCATATATTTTACCCATGTGATCATATCAAAAGAAAATAATTCTAGTAAATGTCCTTCTTCAGGTTGATTTGATAGGGATGAAGAATTTTACACTTGATTGTTCTAGTATCTGTTGTCATTACAGTACTATTCTTTAAAGGAGTTGGTCATATGGCTCTCTGCTTCCAAGCATTTGGTTCAATGTTTCATTTGTTTTCACCGGAAGAATGGAATTTGTGTGAAATCTGGTATTGGGCTGAAGTCGCATACTCTAATTCAATCATATTTTATTGAAAAGTTACCTTTTTTTAGTAAATCTTGCAGTGAAACAACTGTAACAGATTTCTTTACATTGCGATCATTACTCCATAATTTAAATGGACGGGCTGGAGCTGCCATGTTATCTAACTTGGTGTACTAACAACCATAAACATGTAGAATTTAGATCTGGAAAAAAAAACTCCAACTTAAATCTGCTTAGGTAGGATTACAATAGTTATAGTTCAACTCTGAACGTAGGTCTCCTTACACTCGACCCTTACGTGTAAGTAGACCTACATTCTGAGGTCAACTACAATAGCACTTCTTTCTCGTCACATGTTTTAATACATCAGCAACATGCTGCAGATTACTCTCATAGTAAATGTAATTACCAAATTCTTGTTTCCATCCTAGAGTAGCTATAAATATAATGAAACATTTGTTCCTGAATTGCAATTAGATTGTTATATATTGTTATATATATAAACGTAGCTCTACATGTACAGCATTGCAAGGCAATAAGGGGAGATTGGGTGGTCGATTTGATTTAACACGTGCACTTGTATGTGACAAGGAGTAGGGTCTCCTGCCTAGCCTCAGGATTTCCACCGGGTTCTCCCACTACTTAAAGTCCCTATGCACAAGTCAATTATTAAAATAAAAATGAACCATGTTCATCCCCAAATGACCTAGTTTGTATTATGAGTGGAGGTTAAACTCCATTTCTCTCTCTCTCTCTCTGCAAGACAATAAGTTATAAACAGGCTCTATTAATATTATGTCAACCAGCAGCAATGATAACTAGAGTCTAGTTGTAGCATAAATAATTTGAAAAAGTGAGTTAAGGCCTATTCTGAATTTTGATTTGGTAAAAACACGGACCTTATAATACAAGGTCCATGGTAAAAATTACTGTTTTGATAAGTCATACCAAAGAATTCGGAAAAGAGAGAGAGAAAAATGGGGTTAAACATCCACTCGACACAAACTAGGTCATTTCGGGACTAACACAGGGTTCTATTTTATTTCAACAATTCGCTTGCATGTAGGGGTCTTTAGCAGTGGGAGGAAACCGGAGGACCTGGAGAAAACCCACAAGGTTGGACAGGCGCCCCTACTCCTTGTCACGTACAACCGGGGAATCAAATGTGCAATTGAATAACTATCGAATAACTATCACTATCAACACTCAGTATCAGTCACACCACTGTAGGCCTACTAACTAGTACACTCACACTCAACTGTATCAGACATAAAAGTAGGCCTATTATTGTATTCGGATTAAATGTTATTCTCGTTCAAGCAATCAGATTAAAACACAGATCCTATTTCGTTTCGTTTTTATAGTTCAAATTTCGTTTGTAGGCCATCGAAAGTATAAAAAAAAAAACAACCAAATATAGATCTGTATTTTAATCAAATTGTCGTTCAAGTTAAGACAGTGTTGAATATTTGTTGTCTATATGCTGGTTGTAATAATATTGATTTATTTGATTGTATACTCCTCTAATTCATCTCATGTGATCCTATCTTACCGAGCTACATGGAACATAAATACATACAGCGTTTTATTTCAGTCGTTTGAAAGCATTATACGGCTAAACGTCGTTTTAAAAATGTAGAACAAGAGATATTGTGAAACGAAATAGAGATGAGCTAACACTCTCGATCTTCCAGTCAGTATTGGGGGTTATTCAAGATGACGGCCAGTTTGGGCGGGAAAATTCAAATTTTACATAATTATCAAGTTTGGTGTCAAAATATAAGTTTCAAAGTAGCTGAATTCATTTTTTGTACATATTTTAGTGATTAAGTGATTCCCCTGTGTCATTATTGGAGAAATTCCAATTAGGGATTTAGATGTTCGATTAAGGATTGGAGATTAATGATAGGACTACTCCTATCTTAGACCTAATTCAATGACCGTCATCCAATATCAACTAAATTTCATTTGGAGTCTCTCCCAGTTCAACGCGGTAGCGACGTAGGCGTATGTCGACTGGGGCCACTCTCAGGTCACTGCGGAAGCTGATCATGCCTATATTGAAGCACGTGGCGAATTTATTACACAAAATGATTCAAATGTTGTGACACAGATGGATACAATATCGCCTGTTTGTCAGATATGCAGTGAACTATTTGATAATGGTCGTGATATCGAGCTCGGTGAAAAATACCACGTGGAGTGGAATGTCGCAGCTTTCACTATTGCACAATATTGTAACGCTATTAAAGTGGAAAAGTCTGTGTCAAGGTCTAGACGGTCCGTGGTGCCAACATTCATTTTTGCGGATCATTGTCTTTTACATCGTCTGTAGTAGAATTCGCAGCACCTATTTTTTGGACAGGCCAGGGATCTTAATCGGCTCATTATTGTCGGCCTCTAATACCGGTTATCTTTCCGTCGTTTTCGGAATGACGGTGGATAGTTCAATGATTCATTGCATATCGGGATACACCTGTGTCTCATCATTTGAATCTTCAATAGGTTTGGCCATCTTGGCTCAATTTTCGAGGTAAGTGATCGAAATCGGACACGCCTACGACGCTGCGTCCACAGTAGCCTAAGCTGAGCGTGGCCCCTTTCGTCATACCTGCTATGCTTCTTCCGCAGTGAGCAGTGGTCGGCCAGAGAGTCTGAAGGAAATTTATTTAATACCATCGTATTAGATCTGAGCCAGACTCAATTACTCTTAATCCTCAAATCTCCAATGGGATTTCCACATATTTTGAACCAGGGGAACCAGTTAATTAATAAGACGCGCAAATGTGTCGAAAATGGAATCAACTGCTCCCAAAACATATATTTTGACACCAAATGTGGTCATTTTGTAAAATTCGAATTTTCCCGCCCAAATTGGCCGCACTCTGGAATTATTTCCCGATATTGATTCCGCGGTATAACTAATCACCAAAATGGGTATGGAAACGGATTCAGCTACCCCAAAAGGATATATTTGGAAGCCAAACTCGATCATATGATAATTGGATAAAAATTGGCATTTTCCACTGAAAACTGGCGGCCATTTTGGATTATGCCAAATCGACCCATTTGGGCACGGATCTCGGACTGGGACTTTTTTTTGGTGATAATATACGTCTAGACCGACCATAAACAGTGGTCGGCATTTCAATTACAGCAACTGCCCGCACTTATGGTATCTTGTCTGGACTATTTGTATGACTTTTATTGTGTACGATATTAAAAAAGCCATTATTACGTTACTTTCAATAATAACGCCCTTTTTGTATAATTCGGGGAGCCTCAGTGACTAAGTGAGTACGATGATGGCTTCCTGAGCAGGAGGTTCGCCCGCGGTGTTAGCCGAGAAAGTTCCTCGGATTTTTCCGGCGGGAGTTTCCTCTTGTTTGTGGTGCAGGACGGAAGGTCGGACAAGGGCAGTGTCTGGTTGTTCGGATGGAACAGAAAAAAACAAAGGACCCGCGTACAGTTTAGCGTGCACGTAAAAGAACCATTGACAGAATTCAAAATAAGAGTAGGCCATAGCCGCTCTCAGGGCAAAATGTCACTCATAGAGCAATGTCATATGTCAATCTTTATTATTCCAACCGGTGCAAAAAAGCTGGACAGTATCGTTCGAGTTGTCTAACTGTAATATTGCAGCCGATAAAACACCAAACCACAGAGATAGAACTATAATCGGTCGTGAAAATACAAGAATGCCCCAGAGAGACACCAAGAGTTTGTTATAACCATCGATCATCATTCTGTCGAGCAAATTAACGTACTGAATATATCCAAATATCTTTAGTCCATATACACTCAGAAATAAAATCATAAAGAGTTGGTAATTATAAATCTCGACGACATAATATCGGAAAAGCCGTATGCAAGCAACGGCGGTGAGCTTGAATTCCAATATGGCGGCTACTAGAAGTGACTTTTAACTATGTATGAAGTCGAAATAATACTCATCGGGGACCGTTAGAATTATAATTCTGTTTCTGGAATCTGTAGCCTTCAAGATACAAGTGAATGTATAAAACCCCGGGCCATCTTTAAATCCAATATATCGGTTGTTGTATGTAGGGTTAGGTCCAAATATTAAGGCCACCTGCAGATTTCGTCAAGGTCACGAGATGTAAACAGGGCTAGCGCTAACCCTAACCCAGAATCTCGTCAACAATCACGTTTCCTAACCCTAACCCTAATTAGAACAGGTGGGGAAGAGCGATATTTGCATAGTGCAGCTAGGAACGGTCAGCGGACATCGTCCGATCAGACACTGTTCCTAAATGAAATAACTCACCTAATCTGATTAAAACATAGATCCTATTTCGTTTCGTTTTTTATAGTTCAAAATTTTATTTTACTTGTCTTCAAAACACATAGGATCTGGAAGAGTTGTATAACAGGCGTTCTATTTGGTGTGAGGAATAAGCCAATGAAACGGTCTGTTACAGCGAGTTCTTGGTGTGCTCTGCACAGAAATGTAAACCCCTAGAAACGTCAACGCTGATTGATTAATCAATGTGTGACGTCATAGGTAAAAAGCTGCTCGTGTGACCCCCTGACGCGACCTCCCAGTACATCTGGTTAGATCTTCATGTAGTGTAGGCCATCGAAAGTATAAAACACGAAACGAAATAGAGATCTCTATTTTAATCAGATTTTAACTCAACAGTAAGCGTTACAATTCTGTTTCTGGCTTATTGTTAGTACTCATGCAAGTGATACGATTATCAGCAAAATATGACTAGTAAGGCCACGAAATAAAGGGATTATAGTATTCGTTATCATCTTCCGAATTATAAATGGTGGGAGGGGGTCTGTTATTAAGTCAAGTAGCGTGGATTCAATCCAAAGCACGCAAAGTGACAAGAAGTAGAGCCGCCCACTGCTAAATTCCCCTACACTCACACACGAATTCGCTGGTATTCAGTTTTCCAACCCAGAAACAAACATTTTATAATGAATTACACCCACGACTGATTTGACAATATTATTATATTTAATAAACTCTTAAAACAAAATTTACATATGATCTATATACAGTTTACAAACTTGACCCGACTTTATATCTACGGTAAATTACAACAGATTGTACATACAAGCTCAATAACAATAGGTTTTATATATGAACTAATTTACAATAAATTTTACATATGTATTAAATTACAACAGATTTTACATATGAACTAATGTACAATATATTTTACATATGAAATAAATTACACATACGAGTTCAATTACAATATACTTTACATGTAAGCTGAATTACAATATATTTTATATAGGAGTTAAATTGCAATAGATTTTAAGGATGCAAGAAAACTGTAAAATTTGAGTGTTTAAAGAAATATTTAAATAAAGAAAGACCCCTTGAAGTTAGTGGTATTAATATCTGGTATATGGAGGAGGGTGAGTTTGGTATGTGGTAACTCCAGAAGTACAAGTAGTTGCTGTTAGAACAAATTAAAGTACAACATATTAGTGATATGCAACGATATTTGAATTAAATGGCGGAGGAAGCATCTTTGAACATTGTGTTCAACTGCATTGAACATAATGGATCAGTGGGTCATCGACATATTCTTGCAGTAGACTGTAGACAGAGATGTATATACCCAGATGCCTTTCTCCACTGTACACCCCCCCCCCCCCATGACACCACACACCCGCACTCCCCTAAGAATGTCACAAACTTCTGTTTAAGAATAACGGGTGAAAATGTCGATAACTATGGAGAAATATTATAAATGGGCACAGATCGGTCAACGAAAATGGGAGGCTACAAAGAGTATCTATACGGTTGGGACTATTCCCTTCAAATACCATGTATCAGCAAATATTAGATTTTCCCCCAAACATTTGTTTTAAGAAAAAATGCATTTAAGTATTTTTTGGGCGGGTTAGGGTGAGTTTGTGAGACGACTTTTCAAAATCCCATGGAGCAATTTATTGCTCAAAAACTAAATGACGGCTGTATTTTCACATTTCTGTAGGTGGAGTGGTTCTGCCCAATCTGCTGTTCAATTAATAAAATAGGTTAATTCAATCGCGGAAAAAATAAGTAGAACTTACTTGGAGCACAGCCGCCACTTGAGTAAATTACGGTGGCTCTGCGTCTTCTACATACAATGATTATAATAGCTATAAACACAGCTATACAAACAATACTTCCAACAACGGCTCCAGCTACAGTACCCATACTAACTGTCCTGCAATACAAATTTTAATACACATACTTCATTAACGGAGAGGAACTGGTATTTTGATGAATTTAATTTATAGTGAGTAAATTTTCCGAAAAGTGTGAATGGGCAAAGTGGATGTTATTTCAGTCCTGTAAGTTAGGTAAAAAGTTCGTTTCTTTTATTTTTTTTCTGATTTTATACTTCATTGTAATATAACCAATTTTCTATCATCGCGTTCCTCTCCAATGGATGGATTCACATAATTTATTCACCGCAATATACAGCCCTTAATACAAAACCTTGGTCAAGAAAGTCATGTGATCTGAACGCCGACTTCATATTAAATGTGTCAGATGCGCCTTAAATTATGCTGGGACAGCAGCCTTTCATTGAATTACAACCTCGAAGTTTCTTAACACCCGAACGACTAGACGCTGTCCCTTGCCAAGCTCGGAAATCTCCGGCTTGACCAACATAGGAATCGAGCCCAGGACTGCCGTGGCAGTCATGCTGTATACCGTAACTAATATCAATATAGTACAACATAAAATATAAAACGATTCGTAATTCTTATCAGATTTTAATAAGAATAGGAGTTAATGGAGTTATCTTAAACAGACAGCCAAAACAGCATCACCGTCGAATCCTCAATGAATTTCATTTGTCAAGAAATACTTTGCGAGTACCATGTAAACGGAATCCATGATTAGAGGTACACATTTTTCCTACACCCAACAAACCCCAATATTTTTTGTCGGTGATTTCCCCCATGTAAGATTCAGGTTGAAAAACCACCGGGGTTGATAAATAGAGAATCTCCTACTCGATAATGTAAAAACGAGCGACGCTGTGCCGAGTTTTTTTTTATTTTATCGACGAGTGTTGATATTTTTTGATATAAAAAAAGACGAGTAGAAGATTTTATTTATCACGCAACCCTTTCTTACACACACAAATAAATAAATATTATTCTTTAGTATAGATTTTATTTCATGTAAAGCGATATCTCCTTAAGTGATATCGCTCAGTCAGGGCGTAGCTAGCCCAAAAATGGTGGTGGTGGTGGTGGGGCAAGGGCTTCTAGGGGCGCCGATGTACCTACACTTGGCGGGCCACGGCGAACGGTATCCCGGAAGCGCCTCCCTTCAAAGAAAGGTCTAGGGTGCTCTCCCCCCAGAAAATTTTGGAAAATAGGGTTTGCACCTGAGGAGAGGTACTATGAAAATGACGGAAAATTTCAATTTTGAGGCTGAATTTGCGATATTGGCGTATTATATATAAACTTGTTTGAATTTTGAGATTATCACACCTGGTGCAGGCTTGAATCTATTTCATCCCCTTCGTGAATATTGAACTTGAAATTTTCGTACAATCTCCAGTTGGCTTTCTTACGGTAGATTTCTTAGGGCGTCGGTATGCGGTCGGTCTCTTGGTTGGGCGCCCATGATCTCGTAGTGGGCGGCTCACTAATCTCGACATTAAGGGCGCCTCTCCGTGATGAGGCACCCCACCAATCATGCCGTTTTGGGTGCCCCATTGATCAAGTCGTGTACGCCCAGCCAATCTCATTCGAGATTATGCATTATATGCGGCCCGACAATCATATATTGTCATTACAAGGCGCCCCACCAATCATGTCATTATGGGCGCCCCTCCGGGACAAGGCACCCCACAGATCACACCGTTTTGGGCTCCCTATCAATCACGCTGTGGTGTTAATCGTGTGATTCATTATGAGACGCCTCATATATAACATGATTGGCGAGTGACATTGGTTGGGCGCTCCGTCAATCTCGTCGTGTCGAACAACTAGTGTCACTCGGCTTAATGGGGCGCCCACACTGATATGGTCACGTTGGTTGTTGGCTTCGTATTGCGTCCAACGGAAAGGGCGCCAATTTGTTCAGAGGGGGGGGGGCAGCTGCCCCCTCCCCCCCCCACCGCTAGCTACGGGCCTGTCAGTAGATTATGAAAGTTATCACACAAGCGATATCTAATCTACTGTTGAATGAGTTATTGGGCGATAACGATAACTCTGATAACAACAGCTGCATAGGTAAAATAGCCCTACATTTCATTTCGACACGTGTATTATTAAGACAAAACAACGAGCAACTATCAGCCACCATACACACCCCTTCATGTCATAAATATCTGTCTGTTCCGAATATTTAAATTATTCAAGTAAAATTGTCGGTTCTACCGCGCATAATCCCGCTTTCAAATTTTAAACAGAAATCTCTATTATTTTTTTTTAATTACGTTAGACTGTGATTGTTTGAAAATATTACATTGTGTCCAACCAAATGAGTGTGCAATTCGTCCGCAAATTGATAAAAGTAATTAGACTATTAACAATCGTAGCATTGTGAAGTATTAATAGTACACTGTGAAGAATGGGTGTAATACACCATTTTTGTTTTTAAATGGATCGACACCATTTTAACGTTTCTTTCTTTTTTCAGTAGTTTAAAGATACATTATGCGAAAGCCAAACTTGCATATTGTCGAGCGTTTTCTGACTTCAACTCTCTAGATCATCGGGTGGCTTAGATATTGAGTGGATTAGACAATGTATGTCATATCTGCGTCAAACATTAATGGAGGCAAGTCGCTAACTCAATATTAATTATTATCCAGTCTTCGACATTGCAAACACGACTTATAGGTCAATTTAAATCGACATTGATGTTGTAATCTTACCGTGAAAAGATGGGCTTCTGATATCCAATATTTAAGGCAAAATGAACATTTTAAAATTAGCACACGAATCGCGTGCCAGAATGCTTTCAATGAAGTGACTTAGATGAACGAGGCTTTAAATGGCACTCTTCGTGTATTACAGTAAAAACAGAAACGACTGCATGTAAATCAGTTTATATACATTCATAATACATTATTATATCCGTTGCGACCCATTATGTGCCCATTTCTATGTGCCAAAAATAGCGATTTAGCTCCTTTAAAGGCTCAATACCACTCTTGTTGTAACTGAATAATATGTCCCAATCTTTATTCTGGTCAACAAATTGTACTATTTTACAATATTCCAATTAATTGATGATAAAAATTTCATCTTAACACACCTAATTTAAAAAATTGGAAAAATTCAACTAAATGATTTGAAAAGCCTGAAGTGAAGCTTTTCAAATGTGACTTGGATTTAAAAATATTTTTGAACCCTTTGGACAAGTAAAATAGGATTTAATGGATAATTTACACAACAGGTAGGACACTAACACATCTAGTACTTAAAATAAGGCTATTTTTTTTTATTTTCTGGAGCTGTCAAGCCAGCAAGAGTGTTATTGTCCCTTTAATATAGACGGAGATTGCCGATAAAAAGGACTGATTATTGGGGCTTCGTTTATCATGGATGGCAATGGTACTTGGCAATCGAAAACGTGCACTGTTGTGGGTTTGGCTATTTCTTGTCAAACATTCATAACTTCGCCCAGAAAAAAATAATTTGACTGAAATTTTTGAACTAATACATCAAGAACGACCAGCTCTTTCTCTAAATCTCGCTTTATGTATTTTTAAACATGGGCAGTGGAGTTAAACTGTCAAATATAAAAACTTACGTCGTAATGTAAGTTGTGCAACAAGCTGTGAGTGATGATGGGTGAAATCCACCACAGCATCCATACGAACAATATTTATGCTTCAATGTATCAAAACTGTCATAATACTGGCAATAATAAGCCTGGGCAGCTGTAAATATAAAATAGTGTAGACATATAATCATAAAAATCCATTATACATATTTTCGTATCTGTCCGCAGAATAAGCCAATGTTGAGATATAACTTGTATGCGTATTTGTGTATCCCCCCCCCCCCCCCCGGCCACAAAGTTGCAATTTCATATTTTTAAGTTATATTTTTAAAATTTATTAAAATAAAGCCTTAAAATAGATGGTATCTATAAACAGTCCTACCATGTTAAAGAATAATCCTATTAAAGTAGCTAAGTCTCTAACTCAATATCATCCAAAGTCTTACACGTTGCAACAAGTGACCAACAAGAACGAGGCTAGACATACTCAACTGGAGCGCCTGCTTAATAGACTGGAATAACCAGACGCTAGAAATTGCTATAAGGTTGAGACACATGCTGTATTTCGCTGGACATAACTGATTTGAAATTAGAGTCAAAAAGGAAACAATTGAATGTAAATCAGTTTATATACAATCAGATTACATTATTATATGCGTTTCGACCCATTTGGGTCAATTTTTAGGTCCCAAATATTAGCGATTTAGCTCCTTTAATCCTATAATTCACTATTGCCAGTTGAGAAATTGGCAAAAATATCATTTTCCTCTTCAAATTCAAACGTTTGAAAAGAGCTACTCCATGGTGGAGAATAGAAAACAAGGGAGGTAATTGGGAGGTTATTGTGTTATTATTTCCGGTGTAAATGAGTGTTAAGCGTGAAAATGACACCTATGATCGTATAATAGTGAGTTGACAACCTACTGAGCAAAAGAAATAGAAATAATTATGTTTTGACTTTCTTAGAAAATATGAAATTGTAACTTTAGGGCAACCCATAGATTAAGATTGTCACGCTGATATTTAATTAAAAGTTACAGCACGCGTTTCATACACTTGGCCAAATATTTCAAAAGTTATTAGAAATGCTTTAATTGGTAACAATGTTTTTAAACTTATTACTCTTTTTGTCGCTTGTAAAAACGATAAAATTGACATGAATTTCAAGCACAAAAAAGTATTATCATCCACATCGCTTTGTGTGTCCTACCACGACTTATAGCCTTATGATTTTGGATACAAAAAGCCTCTGTGCCCTGTGACGCAGTCTGCTTTCATCGTCCTGATGACTAATTGGTAGTACCAGTTCGGAGCAAAACAGTAGGACGTTAAACCCCATTTCATTTCATTTCATTTAATTGGTAGTAAATATTAGCCCTGTCCTTCTATAATTTCAGAGTATGTACATTTTTTGTGTAACGTCACACGACCCCTCTTCGAGGCTGATTTATTCAAACCTGTGATCCTCAACCTATCAGAATTACCCCCCTCCCCGGATCCCCCCCCCCTCCGCCCCCAATTAATTAAACGAACAATTAATTGGGGCCTACATCATAAAGTTCATAGTAGCTTGTTTTGTAGATAACCACCAATAATATACATTTTAGAAAGATCTTAATATCTTGGAAAATAGACAATCCATGGATATATTATGTAGTATTATTGTGCCAACAAGAAATATCAATGACAGCCGGACGAACGCGAGAGAAGACTATACATGTATACGAAGATCGTATTACGATCACATCAGGGGGTCACGGTGGCTAAGGGGGTAAGACGCTGGGTTGATCGCTAGCCTGGAGGTCGGGTGTTCGATCCCTGTATTGGCCGAGAAAGTTCACCCAGATTTTTCGGCGTGTCCCCCCCCCCCCCTAGTCAGTGATGCAGGACGGAGGGCCTGGCAAGGACAGCTGTCTAGTCATTCGGGTGATCCGAAAAAACCGAGGTTCCGTGTACACATTGGCGTGCACGTAAAAGATCCCTTGACAGTTGGAATTCGATATAAGAGTAGGCCGTAGTGCCGCTGTCCGGTCAAAATTTCCCTCATAGCACACTGTATGGCGTATACCCGTCTTCATTAGCCCAGTTCGGAGCAAAACAGTAGGACGTTAAACCCCATTTCATTTCATTCCCCGATCACATCAAAATGTGGGTGCGTATGAGAATGTTGAGACACCTCATCATTCGTTTTATATATTTCTGAAATACACATTACAATCAAATCCATCTACTGTCAATCTGATTAAAACACAGATCCAATGTAGGGCGAAAGTTATTTTTAATCTTTCTCTCCCTTTCCCCTTTTCCCCCTTTTGCTTGGCGATTTTTGTTGACTTTTTGGTGTAGGATCGAAGAAAAGGGTTTGAAAATACATTTTCTACCAGGTTTTGGTGGATATTCATGATTTTGAGGCGGAAGGATACAAGAGTTGAGAGGTTGGTTAGGTTGAAATGTAGGGTCCAAAATTGCATTTTTTTTTGTCTCTACTTCCAGCTTGTGTATCTCAAGTTTTCCATGGTGAACCTCATACATGCTTTTGGGCAAGAGGTTACCACATGTTGCTCCATCTGTGGTAGAAAGCGTTCTACCCAACGAAAATTTGGGAAAAAGTTAGAGCCGGTCTAAGAGACGAGAATTAACATTAAAGTCAATGGGCAAATCTTTAGTGATCTGTGGCCATTTGGATCTGGAAGACTTGTTATTTAACTCGTGTTCTGCTTGAAATGAGGGGTCAGCCAATCAGATGGTCTGTCGAATCGAGCGTTTGACCTTTTTTGCGCGGAACTGTGGATAGACATTACCAGCAATAGAAATCAAAACAAAGCAAAAGTAGATTTAAAAAGCATGGCGGTCGCTTGCTTGGTACCTGACGTCATAGAACGTGAACTCCCACTATAACTTGTTAGATCTACATGTAGTATAGGCCATCGAAAGTATAAAAAACGAAACGAAATATAGATCTATATTTTAATTAGATTGATCTACTATTATCGAGAAATTTAGATTAAATATTTAGAATAACCATAGAAAATCGGTTTCCGGGTAAGACTCCAATAACCACGTTTCAGCATAATTTCAACCCAGAAAGCGCAAGATACATGCACGACAAAGAAATAAACAAGATTTAATAAAACGGTATTATGAAATCCTCGACAAGAATTTAATTGCTGAGTCCATAATATTATAAAGTTTCACTTAATCAGAAAAGTGTAATTATGCTACCCCCCCCCCCCCCCGAAAAAAAATAATCTTGATACTAACTAGAAAGTATGCTCAGAAGAACTATCACAGCTAACGCCTTCATCTTGATTATTTTATTGTGAAATAAAATTGAAATAGATAATATAGATAAGATCACGTTACCATATACATGTATTGCAAAATACCTCTGACATAGTTTACATATTATGTACTTTGCTCTGTATCAATTTATAATTAGTTCATTGCTATCACAAGATGCTTTCATTATCTTTTAAACATCACCGTCTTCGTCATCTCTATCTTACAGGAGTTATTTTATATTCATAAAGACAATCTACAAGGGTTATAATATACTAATGGGGTGCGCCACAATGTTCAATCCGACAGATTTCAACCGATAAAACGACCTCTGTTGGGGTTGAAAGAACTTTTTTCAAAATGCGGACCTTTACATAACCGTAATGCCATGGACTTTCATAGATCGTTTATTATTATAAAAAGGCGAGTCCTTAAATAAACCTTATGCTATTTTGACGATAAAATAAAGGAAACTCCCAGCAAAAAGTAACTGTGCTGTGGCAGCAATATGGCGATCTATGGTTATCACAAACATTCTACAAAAATATTTTATAAAAAAAAAAAAAAAAAAAATACAAATCAAAGCGAATTTAAATGTTAAGTCAAATCAAAACAAAATGTATACAAATAATAATGATATGTGTCAAACACATTTTCCCATGACACCTATACAGTGGTACTTTTATGTGTACCTATAGAGCAAACTTGCAAATTTTTTGTTTACTCTCTCTGTTTGTGGTCTGAGCTGAAATCACCATTTATAGACTTTGTTACACAGTCTCAAAAATTTGAAAAATATTTCAATGTTTCCAGTTTTCGTTATAAGAGTGCATTGTCTGATTTAAGTAATAGGTCTGATGCACGGTTTGATCAACACAACCAAGATGAAAGAGAGAGAGGGCGAAATGGGGTTTAACGTCCACTCGACACAAACTAGGTCATTTCTGGACTAACATATGGTTATAATTTTATTTCAATAATTTGCTTGCGCGTAAGGGTCTTTAGCAGTGGACAGGCGACCCTACTCCTTGTCACGTAGAACCGGGGATTCGAAACCACGCCAGTTGACAGGCCTTATGATACAGCACGCGCGTGCTAACCATTCGGCCATCCAACCCCCCACAACCAAGATGAAGCGCATAAACCTAAGTAGATGTACACTCAAAGCCATTAAAAACGCAATGCCAAATTCAAAGTTTATTTACTGCAGCAACTTTTAACAAATGTACATAACAATTGAAAAAATCGAAATAACAAGCATCTGTGGATAATTTCATGAAAGAATTCACTACAAATGCGCAAAGGAACCATTTCCCTTCTGATTATTTTGATTTTCTCAGTGGACAGTATTTAATGTTAAAATACAGATATGAGAGAGAGAGAGAAATGGGATTTAACGTCCACTCGACACAAACTAGGTCATTTCGGGACTAACATATGGTTTAATTTTATTTACATAATTCGCTTGCGCGTAGGGGTCTTTAGCAGTGGGAGGAAAGCGGAGGACCCGGAGAAAACCCACGAGGTTGGACAGGCGACCCTACTCCTTGTCACGTACAACCGGCGATTCGAAACCACGCCAGTCGACTCAATGGCAGACTTTATTATACAGCGCGCGCACGCTAACCATTCAGCCATCCAACCCCCCCAATACAGATATGACGCCACCCTTTGATGTTGGCGTACCATTATTTCAAATAATCGTACGGGCAACTTGCCATTCGTACATTATTTATACTTGTGAAATATTGGACTCGAGTGAAGTATTTCACTGTAAAAGCACGTGTGGAGTGTCTGTATTTTAAGTCGTTTAATGGTCTCGAGCTTAAGACATTGTGTAATAGTAATATATTGTAAAAACACTCGGGCCTCACGACCCTCTTGTTGTTAATATTACTTAATGCTTAATGCCTGGCTCTCGACCATTAAACAATACTTAATACCCTCTGACCCGGATGACGTACCAGATTTGGTATTTTTAAACAAAATGATACCCCATGCGCCGTCAGTGGACCATTTAAATATGACACTAGTCCTACAGTTTTGATCTTTACAGTTATTTTCGAAAATTTTCTACATTAAGGGTTGTTTGTTTTACAAAAGGGTAAGTATCAGAACCCGGAATCTTACCAACAAACATTAAATAGATTGGCAGAATAAGCAGCCCATTCACTTTTTACTTAACTTATCTGAGACTTATAACCTACGACATGCACATGACTTGAGATGTGTCTACGGCGAAAAAAAAGGCACTATTAAACATACATTATGCAAGAGCTAAATCTGCCAATTGCAGGTTTTTCTTTAGGCTTGAAATGTAATTATTGATTAGACATTAATTAACTTATGAAGACCATAATCAACGCTCGATGGCATCGCTAGACTGCGATATTTACTGGATTAAGATCCCATTTGCTGCTTGACTTCCATTCATAATTTAATCATTAAATTTATCGTACAGACTTTAGTAATGATGATCGAGGCTAAGCCGAAATTTCAATCGTTTAATTCTCGGTTCATAATGGATTAATTTGACTGAAATTTTCAGCAAATTGCCTTAGATTATCTAGTTTTTAACTATTATAGTGAGAACTGTCAGCTCTTTTTCTTATCTCCAATAATGTAACTTTAATATTTCCATATACAAATTGTTGCACGACTCTGAATTTCGGAAGGATTCCTTCTTAGGACTAGCAGAACTACCACCTGCTGATGAATGTATATTAGATGCGTCATAGTCTTATATTTTATTTATAGAGTTTTAATTTTTATTGCCAATTCTGAGATCTTCGTTTCATGCTTCGCGCTTGAACAACTATTTATTTTTTTAATCAAATTATGATTAGTAAAAGCTTGGAAAGATTGCGGTACCATAATGATCCTTCGAATCATCTCCTTGTAAAGTATTACAAGAAAATGACATAGTAGGTATTTGTAAAGGGTAATAAATCACAGAATTGACCAGTATACATATTATGTGACAAGACTAATTCTTCCGTGTGTAGTAGTACTTAGATTTTTTTATGATCACAAAAGTAATCCTAGATTATGTCCTTTTCAAAATCAACTATTTTCGTTTTTCGCAGCCAGTATTTCGAAATATAATGCAAATATGCACCAAGTATTGTTATAACCTATTGTACGCAAGTCATTTTATCACAAAGGTCTTTAAAACAAGAGGAGATGAAAAGATTTGCAAAAGTGATACAAATGATTCTCAGAGATTTATTCTCCCATACACATGCATTTAATAAATTATACACACAAATAATATAACATTATTATCTATCATATTTTGTACACAATTCATAAAAAGTGAAATAATGTGAACAAAATTACAACATGTTTTATATGTAGAAGAGTATTAAAATTACAATGCAATTACATAGGAGATGGATTATACAATAGAATTTACATATTATGAGCGAAATTACTGTAACAGATTTATCATATGAGATAAATTACAATTTATTTTACATATTTATATAAGATGAATTGCAACGGATTTTATATGTAAAACAAAGTACACGTACAATAGATTTTACACATGAAATAAATTACAATAGATTTTACACGTGAACTAATGTACAATATATTTTACATGTGGAATAAATTACAATAGATTTTACATGTTAAATAAATTACGATAGATTTTACATCTGAAATTACAAATATCTTTACATAAGAGCTTAAAAACTACAACCGATTTTAACGAACTAACAGCATCAGTATGTGAATAAATAAAAGATTGACAGTGTTTGAATCAATTAAATATCTTTGGTGTTTGAGTACATCAAATACCTTCAATCTCTAAATATAAATAACATGAGGTTAGTTGTATCCATAAGACGTATATGGAGCAGGGTGTGCTGTTGCTGAAAAATATTTAAGTACATGTTAGTGATATGCAGCGATGTTCGAGGTAAAGTGACGAGGAAGCATCTTTTGAAAACACTGAGCAAGTTCCTGTATTTTCGTTTTGCCGAAAGTCCCGCAAATAGTTCAAATAATATCATGGACCGTATATATGTAATACAGTCCATGATAGTACCAGCTAGGGCTTTCTGGGGGAAAAGACGGGCATACGTCATACAGTTTTGCAATGATTGGAATTTTGCACGGACATCGGTGCTACGACCTATTTTTGTTTCGAATTCCAATTGTCAAGGGTTCTTTTGTGCGAGCACATGTGTACACGGGACCTTGGTTTTTCGTCAAAACACTAGACACTGTACTACCGACAAGGGGAACCGTGCCGGAAAAACCCGAGCAACTTTATCCGCCAACACCAGGAGCGAACCCGAGACCGCCTTGTTAGCCACACAGGGCCTTACTCATTGAGCCGTCCTGGTTCTCCGGAGAAAAGGATCACGACACCAATCACGATGCTAGGGACCATAATTAACTGTGGAGGAAAGCAACTATATAGTTGCTGTCCCGCTGTGATCAATAAATTGAAAGAGTTGGAGAATGATGGTAACAAAATATTTGAAACATGCTTATGGTATTAGTTTTCATCTAGGCTTCACTGTGATCTGTAAATGCACGTAACCTTCTCGCAAGGAAATGTATAGCGTGATTTTCTTTGAAAGAAACGTCGAAATTCGTCAGGGTAGCTTTGACCTATTCCATTAATCGACTTGGGCGCATTCGTCCCAGACTATCAGACACGCTTTAACATCAACCAGTATTTAATTTGATGAAACAGTTGCAGACTTGGTGACAATCGAACGCAGGGAAGAATACTAGAACTTACTTGTAACTGTGCTGACCGTAGGACCACAGCCACCACTTGAGTAAATTACGGTGGCTCTGCGCCTTCTGCATATAATGATAATAATAGCTATAAACACAGCTAGACAAACAATACTTCCAACAACTGCTCCAGCTACAGTACCAATATTAACTGTCCTGCAATACAAATATTTATAAACCTGTAACAGTAAATCTTTTTGATTTTTGGGGTATATTCTATGCCCGGAATAATTTGCAGTCTGAAATTCGGGGCCGGCTTTGATACATGGAAATTTGGGGTTATTCCTCTGAAAGTTTTTCTTTAAACCTGTAACGGGTTATTCGTCCAGGGTAGGTGTTTTTTTTCCATAAGAAAACATGATAATATAAGGTTTTTCTTACGGGAATTCTGGGATATTCTACTCTAGCGTACATGTAAACAGACGGTTTATAAGCAAGATAAAGTCCTCAACTTCGGTAACGCTGGCGAAGAAAGACTTCAGAAAAAACCCTCGACAGAAAAACCTCGGCCTGTCGGTCTCGGTTTTTCTTTTTCTCCGGTTATTTTCTCCAGTCTTTCTTTCCCCAGCATAACCTCAGTCTCGTGCTTTATCCTACACATAACTACTTCATTTACAAACATTAATATACAGCTGAGCGTACAGGTCAACAATATATAATAACCAATTCTTAATAACCATATCCAAACTGTATTTCTAATCAAGCTGAATGGTTGAACGCGTTCGTTTACATCATAAGGTCTGTCATTGAGTCAAGTGGCTTATTGAAATAAAAGTCAACCATATTTTGGCCTCGAAATGACCTAGTCACAATTCAATGCACTTTACATCAAATTACATGCATCAAATAAAGAGAAGAAAATAGCGGGCAAATTGAACAGTCACGTGACAAAGTTTTGCTTAACCTATAACGTTTAGCGTAAAGAGAAACTATTTTGGAGAATATCTTACTTTCAACAATCTGTCGGTAAAAAAATATCAGTTCCCGGGATCCTCAGTAGTAGGCTATCATTCCGTTCTACTCTGCTAAAACACGGGTAAATTCACGGGGAAACACAAAGTCAAATTAGTGGAGTAGAACGGAAAAACAACATTGGGTATACCCAGGATGCCATTTTGTAAGATTGGGTGATATTTTGGCTTACTTTCATTATAAATACGTGTACCTTCTTTGAGCGGCATTTAGCAATTTACCAATGAGAAAGACGAACCGGCAAATATAAAAACTTACACTTACGTCGTAATGTAAGTTGTGCAACAAGCTGTGAGTGATGATGGGTGAAATCCACCACAGCATCCATACGAACAATATTTATGCTTCAATGTACCAAAACTGTCATAATACTGGCAATAATAAGCCTGGGCAGCTGTAAATATAAAATAGTGTAGACATATAATCATAAAAATCCATTATACATATATGCGTATCTGTGTATCCCCTCCCCTACATATTATATATGGAAGACCAAACAGCTCTTTATTCAGTGTTCTTAGTCCTTATATCTTAATTCATAGTCCATAATTCTTATTTCTTCATTTGTTGTCGTATTTCGACATTTATACACTAAAATTAACATTTGTATCTTAAAATCAATACTTGTTTTACAAATCAGTCATTTGTCATATCAGATTTGTAAAATGTATTTTAATTGTAGGCCTATTTTAATATGAAGATAAAATTTATTTGAATTTTAGAAAATAAAAAAATAGCCTACATTTAAATTTCATCAGAGAAATACAACGAAAAACAAATCTGGAACAACAAGTTTCTAAATACAAATCTCCAAATACAAATCTTACAAAACATTTCTCCAAAAACATTTCTTCAATAACATTTCTCCAAAAACATTTCTTCAATAACATTTCTCCAAAAACATTTCTCGAAATCCATCGAACCGGAATATTATGACGACATGATGTTCCGGTTCGATGAATTTCGAGAAATGTTTTTGGGGAAAAGTTATTGAAGAAATGTTTTTTGGAGAAATGTTTTGCAACATTTGTATTTGGAGTTTTGTATTTAGAAATTTGTTGTTCGAGATTTGTTTTTCATTGTATGTCTATGATGAAATGTAAATGTACATTATTTTTTTTATTTACTAAAATAAATTTTGTCTTATATTAAAATAAAATTAAATACATTTTACAAATCTGATATGACAAATGTCTAATTTGTAAAGCAAATAATGATTTTAAGATACAAATGTTGATTTAAGTGTACAATTGTTGAAATACGACAACAAATGAAGAAATAAGATTTAAGGACTATGAATGAAGAACTAAGAATTAAGAACACTGAATAAAGAGCTGTTTGGTCTTCCATAATTATAGCCCACCCATTTTAATTCCATAAAAGGCTGAGTACGAATAGGAACTTAAGTTAGACACCATATAATACAGTGGATTACGAAAAAAGGAGTTTGGTTCACTTTTCTTCATTTCTCCGTGTTTGTAAAAACGTATAATACACTGTAAATAGGCCAACTATACGAAATAATTACATTAGTTAAAAGTACATTATGGGAGATTAGATAAAGAGCGGACAGTTCTCACTATAAAGTATTGATAATGATTTGATCAGCTTTTAATAATAATAATAACAATATGAAACAGTGTGGAAATTTAACTGATATTATTACTTGATAAAGGAATGGTCAACTGAAAGATTAAGTAAATTAAATAGCAATCTATTAAGCTGTGATAGCGTTTTTTTTTTATCAGATTTAAAATGACAGTTGCATATTTTCCAAGAAAGTCAAACATAATTATTTCTATATCTATTTCTATATCTAAGGTTGTCAAATTATACAATCATGGGAATCACTTAAAAAAGCATTCACATAAAACTTTGAAATATTTACTATACTCGCCCAATGTACTTGGAAATTGTATCATTTCTTTTCACTGGAAAATTACGTCAAAGTCTGTAGTCAAACTAATAAGAATGATGGTTCCTGGTTGAGACAACATACAAGAATACTCTTCTAATAATAACACCGCTCCATGGAATTGGCAAACCCAAACGACAACGTTGGTGTTTGAATTTGATCTCAACTGACAAATGTGAATTGTAGGAGTAAAATGACTATTCTGCAACGGTTAAAGCGTATAAAGAGAACATGATTTGCATTTTTTGTCAATAACAAGGCACCCTAAAATGGTTATTTCATCAATAATGTGGGTTTCAATACTGTCCACATTTCCTATTGTAATAGAGCAAGCTGGACCATAGAAATATTGATGTCATGAAATCGTTGGAAGTATATTAGGGGATTCACAGGTGTTACTCGATATCCTTGATATTTTCAACGATTTCATGAAATCTCTATAATTACACAGATTCAATGTAATTTTCTTCGGCTATCTTAAAGATTCAGAAAGTTATACGTGACACCGAACTGAATCCAGATATAACAACGCAGGTGGAACAAGTCTTGTCAGTGAAGCAGGATACAGAACAAGAGTTTTTCTCTAAAAGTTCGATGGGCTCAACACTTCCAACCACAGGAGCAACATCTTGTTGGCTAACTTCAATTTTGAAATCTTTTAGATGAATTGACACAGAATGATCCTTGTTTATTGTCGGAATTGAAGTCAATAAATTCAGGTTCCGCGATATAGATTGTAATTGTTATAGTCAAAGACTTTTATAGCTTATATTATACCTGATTAAAATTCAACTCATCCATTATCCAATTTTTATACGCCCACATTTTCATGTGGACGTATATTGTCGTCTTTGTCTCGACTAAAATCACCATATATATGTTTGGCGCAATAATATATCCTGGTTGGCGCAGACGTGTCTTTAAAGAAGTATTTCATTCATTTATTATATAGTCATTATTATTGCCGTCGTCCGTATGTACGTTCACATGTTGTTTGTGGACACTCTACATGGCAGGTCGCGGTTTTTATCCGATTTTGACGAAACTTGAAAGATCTTAGTACTTTTCGATATTTGCACTTATCGGGACGTAATGGCCTCGATTATAGTCCCAGGTTGTACGAAAAATCACGTTTTTGGCTTGTGGAAAATCTATAGAGATCACAATTTTTATCCGATTTTGATGAAACTGAAAAAAGGTATGTGTATAATCCAAAGATCTCGATTCCTTTCGATATTCACACACATCGGACTATAACTTCATGGATTATGACCCATGATTGTACTGGTTGACCTTCTTGCGATCACAATTTTTATCTGATATAAAAAACGTTCAAATATATCACCGTTACACCATAATGGCAGTTGAGTTCGAATTTCGTGAAAATCGGACCGAAACTGTCTAACAAAATGACCGCCCCCCTCACGCAAAAAGTGCATTTAAGTATGTAATACCATGGGTTGTGAACCGTCTAGAGGTCACAAATTTTATCCGATTTTAACGAAGCTTAAAATATATGCTTATATCTCAAAGGTCTGGGTTTCTGTCAATACCTGAGCGTATCGGACCCTAAGATTATGGATTAAGACCCTTTATTGTATGAAATATCACTATTTTTTAGTTTGTTTTCTGTCCATATCTTGAAAAATGTGGGCGTATCTTGCATGGCCACCGCTTGTTTTGTTATATCGAGACAATTTGTGACTGTAGATACTATCCCGACTTTTAAAAAAGAATGCTATTTAAAACAACTAAACTCTGACTAAACTGAAAAATTAATACAACGTCAAAATAATATCAGCGAAATTATAATATCCACATTACGAATTTAAACGCCGAGTCCATTGTATATTAATCAGATAAATGGTATTCATTAATACTAACCTGATATTATGCCGAGAAGAACAATCACAACCAACGACTTCATCTTGAATATTTTATTGTGAAATAAAATGAAATAGATAATATTATATACAACTATTGTTATCTCGTTATGATGTTGCAAAATACCTGGGGGGGTGGATGGCTGAATGGTTAGCGTGCGCGCGCTGTATCATAAAGTCTGTCATTGAGTCGACTGGCGTGGTTTCGAATCCCCGGTGGTACGTGGCAAGGAGTAGGGTCGCCTGTCCAACCTCGTGGGTTTTCTCCGGGGCCTCCGGTTTCCTCCCACTGCTAAAGACCCCTACGCGCAAGCGAATTATGTAAATAAAATTAAACCATATATATTCCCGAAATGACCTAGTTTGTGTCGAGTGGACGTTAAACCCCATTTCTCTATCTCTCTCTCTCTCTCTGCAAAATACCTCGACATAGTTAAAGTAGCTTAGAGTGTCTGTAACCCAATATCATCCAAAGTCTTCGACATTGAAAACAAATTATTTGTCAATTTAAATCAACATAAGATGGGATTCTGATATCCTATATTTTAGACAAAATAAACATTTTACCATTGGTACACGAATCGTGTACCATAATGCGTTTCAGTGCCATTTGTAAAAAGGGACTCGAAGAACAATGCTAGACATATTCCACAAGTCAGGTCAAACGTTGACGTCATATTCATATCTGGCGAGCATGTGCAATAAATAATATCGATGTAGACTGGAATAACCAGACACTAGAGATTGCCATTCGATTGAGACTTCTGGCGTATTTCGGCGAACATATCTGATTTAAAATTAGAGTAAAAACGAAAAGATTGAATGTAAATCGGTTTACATACGTTCATATTACATTATTATATGTGTTGCGATCCATTTGTGTCAATCTCAAGGTCCCAAATATTAGCGATTCTGCTGCTTTAAGTTAGTGGGGGTTGGATGGCCGAATGGTTAGCACGTGCGCACTGCATCATAAGGCCTGTCATCGGGTCGACAGGAGTAGTGTCGCCTGTGAAACCTCGTGGGTTTTCTCCGGGTCCTCCGGTTTCCACCCACAGCTAAAGACCCCTACGCGCAAGAGAATCACGTGGATAATTTTAAAACGTCATCGTAGACTCGATTGTCTACCTCGCGAAAATTAGTGAGTCTTGCCATTGGTTGACGGAATCTAGAGTAGTGGACTTTGACCCCAATTATTTAATTCCAACCGTTTCTCACCTTGGTATTATTATATCGACTGAAAGAGAATCGGTTTCAGGCGAGTTATTTGCCCTTGAATCAGAAATCGGATTCAGACCACATGGTCGTAACAGACTTTAGACATTACACTTAGTCATATAGCTCAGGCCTAATGTTATTTTTGAAATATTTTTCACGTTACAGGTGCCGACAAATCACCACCAACAAAAGGCCAGCTTTTGGGGTTGAACCATTATTTCAGAATGCAGATATTTATAGAACAACCATACCACATTGTATAAATCAGTTATTATTATAAAGGCAATCCCTTAATGAAGCTTTTATAAAACTAGTTATAACGCATTAATCACAAAAATACATTTTTGAAAAATTATTATAAGCAAATATATTGTTAAAGATACATTATGTAAGATTTAGATAAAGAGCTAGCCATTCTTGCTATAGTAGTTCGAAAATAGCAAATGTAAAATGAATAATTTTAAAATTTCATTCCAATTACTATTGCGAGCGAAGATATTAGCCTTTGAAGGTTTGACAAGAGTATGCAATAATTTCAACCAACGTACTGGTTGTTCGAAGTTAAGTCTTGCTCCTCGATTTTTAGCTTAAATCAAAATGTGGCTGAACTGTTCTAATCTATTTAATATCGGAGAAAACCGATGCCATCGAGAGTTGATTATGGTCACGTACAACCGGGGATTCGAAACCACGCCAGTAGACTCAATGATAGGCTTTATGATACAGCGCGCACGTGCTAACCATTCAGCCATCCAACCCCCCTCTAAAAAGAATATCAGCCCTAAAACGGTTCAATTCTGTTCACGGCGTTCAGTATTTACAAAGATGTGATAAATTGGACATTGATCGAAACAAGGTATCATGAATTAAATATTAAATAATAAATTTAATTACACTTTGGTCTGGATTAAGTCGTGAATAATTAGGTATTGTCTCAGAAATAAAAATGACATTAGTAGATTTGAGGTTTGAGAAACTTTACCCATGACTATATTATTAATATTTTAATCAGGTATTATGCAAGGGCTAAATCTGCCTGATGCAGGTCTTTCTTTGATATTTATCTCTGCCGACTTGTTCGGCGAATATGTGGTCGTGATGATCACCATGCAGTCGACCATTTAGGGTTTAATGCAGTTCATCTGTTTTGATACCGAGTGTATGTAACTGTATCGTTGCACCATTTCTGGACCATGAGTTCCGACAATCTTTGAAAACGATGTTAAAACTAGAACAAACACCGACCAAAAATACGACACCAATGACTGCTTACAGCAACGATCCACACCAACCAAACCGGGTTATTTACACCAACTGCAACAAATACCATTTACCCACATATATCGTACGTTTCTCCCACGAGTCGTGTATGGTTTCTAGCGCCATTTGTAATGATCAAAGAAAAACATACCCTTTTCGTAAGTTATTAGTAATGCCTGATTTACAAACGACAATATAATAATAATAAACGTGGGCTAAGCAAAACTAAACGACTGTCGTTCAATTTGGACTATTCATTCACGTATTAGACCCAACATAATTGATTATAAATTAAAATATTTTTTTCCAAATTGAGTATAAATCACTTTATATACATTCATATTACATTAATATATGCTTTAGTCTATTAAAATGTTCCAACGAATAGAGTCATACGCAAAAGAAGATTATTCTTTTATTGTCTGGAAAACTGAACTTTAAGCGAATTTTGTTAGTGAACCGCGAAAACCAAATGGAATTCCTTGGTTATTCTTTGTGAATATATTATTAAATGAAATGGGGTTTAATGTCCTACTTTTCTGCACCAATCAGTCAACCGAATGCAGGCATAAACTAAGCGTATAACGAGGGGGAAATTTCGCCCTGACATCAGCGTTTCCGCTTAATCTCCGTCGAATTTTAACTAACGTGCTTTCGTTCCATTCAAACCACTTGATACACTACACTTTTTTTGTCAGCCCAACGACTAGAAACCCATTTGCACTTAATCCGGCACTAAACATATAGCAGGATATATTGTATACCAATATTAGGTCCTAATATACATGTATGAAACTACAACTAAAGTCGAAGATTAAATTGATAGAGGCCATAAAGAATTTGAAACTAATTAATACATTTGATGAATTTAAAGATATGTACTTTAAAACAATATGAATGAATGTTCCTAAAGATGGCCAAAATTCAAAATTCATACTCATCCGCCAAGAAAATTAGCTTTTGCTGTAATATCACAGAGTAAAAGGTGGTGGAAGCATGTTAAAGTTGATGAAGCAACAGAATGCATAGAATGTATGGTCACAACTGTGAAATATTGTGATAATGTGAAGATGTTATCTAAAGCTAAAGTTGAAAATATCTATATTTAATAATTTTGAATTATTGAGACTCCATTTCTTCATGATAAGTCACCATCGCAATTATTACTAGGGGATAGACTTACAACTCAAATTCTTACTTCAAGGCAACAACTAAAAGCTAAATCTCAAAACAGTTTTAAGAAAGAAAGGCAGAAAAAGAATATCAACTATTACGACAATCCAAGGTCATAATATATCACACGAGCCAGAAACGGCAACGTCTTAAAAAGAAATTTTCAATATATCAGAGCATGTCACGCTAAAGTTCAACCTTCCTACACGCCATTGCAACAAATGGGTGACTACCACAACAACCCTGCACAACATAATCCTCCGATAACGTCAATAAACATCCCCCCCATCAACAATCAGAATGAAACCAACAAAGGCAGAATTTCAAGAAGACCAACCTGTATGAATAATTATGAACATTAGTAGTTTTGAAATTTATTTAATGTGATATGATATTCTCTTGTTTTCAGAAAAACTCTGAACTAGAACTGTTTAGTTTATCAAGTGAAGATGTAAATTAATAAACGATCTAAAGAATTGTGAACATTGTAATACACATACAAAGGGAAACAACCAGTGTTAAAGGAGGCAAGTCACTACCCCAATATCATCCGACATTGCAAACACGACTTCTTGGTCAATTTAAATCAACATTGATGTTGTTACCTTACCTTTTAAAAATGGGCTTCTGATATCCAATATTTAAGACAAAATGACAATTTTAAAATTGGCACACGACTCGCATGCCAGAATGCTTTCGGGTGCCATTTGTAATGAAGCGACTCGATGAAGGAGGCTGACCATATCCCCAGGAGAATACTGCCGGATAAAATGGAATAACCAGACGCCAAAGACTGCCATTCAATTTGTAAAAAACAGAGACGATTGAATGTAAATTAGTTTAAATACATTCATGTACTATTCAAAAAAAGTAGGGGATATTTGATTTTTAAGTGTTATTAAAGTCACCTAATGAAACTGACGAAGAAACAAATGACAAAATGAAATGAAGTTCACATTCATCGATTTATTTCAAATGATCGTTAGACTAAGTAAGGCACAGACTGGCCATTATAAGGGTAAAATGATACCCGGGGTCAAACAGCAAAGTTACCACATCATCACAACCAAGTCAGTAACGGGTAAATCCTCCTCTGTTTGCCAAACAAGCATTGATCCGACGTGGCATACTCCTAATGAGACGTCTAAAGTCATTTTGGTCCAGATTGTCCCATTCCTGTTGCAACACAGCAGCAAGTTCTTGGACATTGGCAGGACGTTGTTGACGTTGACGTAACCTCTGTCCAAGCATGTCCCAGACATGCTCGATGGGGGAGAGGTCGGGACTCAGTGCTGGCCAAGGTAATGTGGTGATGTTCTGTTGTTGGAGGTAACCTGTAACGATCCTGGCCCTGTGACATCTTGCGTTGTCATCCTGGAAGATGAAACGGCGG